TTAATCCATTCTTCAGTGGTGGGGCATCTTGGCTGTTTCCATAACTTGGCTATTGTGAATAGTGCCGCAATAAACATGGATGTGCAGGTGCCTCTGGAGTAACAGTCTTTTGGGTATATCCCCAAGAGTGGTATTGCTGGATCAAATGGTAGATCGATGTCTAGCTTTTTAAGTAGCCTCCAAATTTTTTTCCAGAGTGGTGTACTAGTCCATTCCCACCAACAGTGTAAGAGGGTTCCTTTTTCCCCGTATCCTCGCCAACACCTGTTGTTGGTGTCCACACAGACTTCTAAAAAGCTTCATAACCAGTCATGAAGTCTGCAGTAAGATGAAGGGAAAGCCCCTCGTAAGATGTAGTGAAGTACTGGATACCAGACCTTACCAGAAGAAGGGGACCTGCTTGATCAGCTTTTGTTGGTCAGGAGCCCAAAGAGTCAGGTTTAAGTGGAGCACCTTCTGGTTCTTTTCATCCCTGCATAAATCTTTACTGAGACTTTCTCTGGCCAATGGGTAATGCAAAATGAATAAATTTTGTTCCATTTCATTAGTTACCTCAAATTAAAATAACAACAGAACCAGAGACCACCCGACCCGCCAGTGGTGTCATGCAGATTTCCCAGGGAAGGTGATGGGCTTTTGAGTGAGAGTCTGAGTTGTTTGAAGAAGACAAATTGTGGTATATGCAGTGTGGCTGGATGAAAATGAAAAATCTCTTGCATTTGAGGTCTAAAATATTATAAGATAAAAACAAAAAAGAAAAGGGGGAAGAGATGGAGGAAGAGAGGAAACCTTCAAAATAATAGCTCACACCAGGTTTACACATTTCCCCTGTGTGGTAGAGGCTGTCATCTGCACTGTTTAGGGGTGAGGAAACTGAGGCACAGAATTCTTGGTCTATAACACAGCTGCTCACAGGGCAATAAAACCGCATCATTCTAATTCCTGCTGGAGTTTGTGCTTAGTCTCTGAGTTGAGGCAGGCTCTGGGCGAAGGTACCCCGGTGTTTTGCTTCTTGAGAAACCATACGGCATGAACTGAGTTGCTTGACTCTGCTGCATGCAGTTCTAGTAGTCTGGTGCCACAACAGTGCCACATGCCAGACCATGCGGCCAAGGCCTCGTGCCCAGAGCCATCACCATCAGAAAGGCTCAGTACACAGCACAGCTGCAGACACTCTAGATGAGGCACACCACCCTTCAAAACTCAGTCTAGCCTGTGTGACACCTACCCTTTCTATCCCAAGAGGGATGGAGCCTGGGAGGGTAACTGATATGGAGCAGTGTGCATCTGAGGCTGTAATCTCTAATAAAAGGTGTAACAACCATGTACTCTTCAAATTGGCCACATTTTTGTCAGTGTCCCAAATAAAAATTGCCTTGTCCTGTGCCTTGATGCTGGCCTTTCACACACATTGTGTAGGAGTGATGGCCCTGAGGTCCAGGGACATCAGCAGTTATTATCAAATCCCACCCCCCTTTCCCCTGCGGGGCATGCACAGCTGGGCTACTTCACGTACTGAGTTCATTAGCTGTCACCAGCGAGTCAGAGCTGGGTTTGGTCAGGCCTGTGTGTTGCTGTCTGACAGAAAACACCTAAGGGCTTGCTTAATCAGTCTACCCAGCAGAAGACTGTCCTGACAACTGTCTTTTCAAGAAAGAGACAGAGCTGTCAAATGCGACAGAGCAAAGATGCTGCATCATACACTGTACAATCCTAATTTTGTTTTTTTTTACTAAGCACAGCTGAATATTTAGTAGGTCTTTCTTGATTAAGAAATGTTCATATTGAAGATGTTTTTAATGAGTTGATTCCTTAAATGTGTATTTGCACACAAACAGTCCCACTGAAAGGAATTTTGCTTGAGTAAGGACTGTGGAATTAGACTTTGGGGGTCAGCTTCCTGCCCCACGGAATGCAGTGGGAAAGTGACCTCTCACAGCGCATTCCATGTGCAGAGGTTCCATGTAGACAGTGCCGTGTCTCAGGGTGCTATGGATGCCTGTGACAGCCAAAGGCCACGGTGCTGTGTCTTGAGCAGGTTGCAATCAAATTCCACAAAACTTCTTTGCAGCATAAGCGAGGGTGTGGCTATGTGTGTGTACAGCAAGGCAGCATTTGACCTTCTACTGTTGGAGAAGAAGTCCTCACTCATATGAACTTGAACTTAAAATAGTTGTACTTTGAGGATGTGTGGTGAGAGGAGAGGTTTGAACAATTCTTAAAGAAGTTGTTCTCAATCACATGAGATTCGGGGAAACTTAACCACAACTGACAAAGCAGCTTAGGAAGCCAAGATCATTAATTCATTCAGCCACTGTGTTCAGGATGTCTCCTGTGTGCCAGGCAGTCTCTCAACCCTGACAATGGACTGTGAGCAAGAGAAGAGCTATCTTCCATTCTGCTACTTCACTCAGGACACTGATCCAAACTGTGAGCTCCCACTCTGACCTTTTTTTACCACTGGGTTCCAGCCCCTAGAACAGATCTGGGATGTAGGTGGTGGCCCACGTTTACTGAGTTAATATTCAGGAACCGGGATTTGACTCTGACCTCTCATGAATCTCTTTGGAGATAAGATTTCTCCATTCATTCGCCCACTCTGAGGAGGGAGGTGAATACAACATGTCCAGCAGATGAAACTGAAGCGACAGCCAGGGCTGACCATAAATGACAAGACATCGTATAGGCAAGGTATCTCCCACTGAGAATGTTTGTGAGGCCCTGGCTTCAATCCCCAGCACTGAATGCAATAGCTAAAGATTTGGACTTTTCAGTTTAATTAATTGATTTTTTGTGGCGTTGGGACTTTGTGCATGTTAAGCACATATCTACCAGTGTGCAGCACACCCAGCCCAGAATTTGGACTTTTATCACAGTGGTGATGGAGAGCAAGTATAGAACTGAGGCAGAGGAGTAACAGTACTGAACCTGTGGTTTGGCAAGATCACCCTGGCTGCTGGGCTGGGCGAGATGGAGGCAGTGGAGGCTGGATAGGATCTTTACAGAGGTTCAGTGAGAACCAATGAGGCCTTAATTAGAGAGTGAGTGTGGGTAAGGAGAGAAGGTGACAATTTCATGAGCTGTGAAAGCAGAATGGGCAGTGATGGACTGGATGAGAAGAAAATGTCAGTTTTCCCTCCAAACTAAGATACTTTGTGGCAGGAAACATGGCCTTTCGGAAGTGATTAATAGGCACTTTTACTTGTTCAGAGCATAAAAGAGGAGGAGGAAGTGGTGTACCCTGGGACGCCTGGTGGTGCAGCATGCAGAGTCAGCTTCTCTGGGCTAAAATCACAGCCCTGCCACTTACAAGCTGTGTGACTTTGAACAAGAGGCTTAATCTCTCTGACTTAATTTCTTCATCCATGATATGGGACTAACACAGCTCATGGGGTGGCAGGAATGAATACATGCAGTCCTTAGAAGAGTCCCTAGAGTGGCAAGCACTCGGTGAGTATTACTGTTGATGTTTCTAGATTTCCTGTGTGCATTTGGTATGACTCAGGGCCAGCACCTTCCCTCTTCTGACCACCTGTGCTGTAGATGCTTGGAACACTCTGTGCTGTGGTTCTGTCTGTATCGCCTGTCGCACTGCATGGACACTGTTACCTCTCAGGTCTGGATATTTACCTACTCACTGCCTGTGACACCCTCCTCTACCTACATATCTGCAGATCCAAATGCTTTTCAAGTACCAGAATATATTAGATTTCTCAACCTCCGAAGCTTTTTAAAACTTGAATTTCTTTCCATTTGCCTAAAGTCTCTTGGTTAGGTTTGAATGGCATTCTTAGAAGTAGCTACCCTCCCTGTCTCATCTTCCTATGCCTGCTAGCTCCCATCCTCACCTACAGCAGGACTCAGCACATCTGTGGACAAGGTACTCATCTATGAAGTTGTAGTATGACTGCCACCTACTTCACAGGGTTACTGTTAGGGTTCGAAGGAGAAAAAACCTCATTTGTTCTTGGTCTCCCTTGACATAAACCTGTCACATATAATAAAATTAAAGATAACAGGGCATTACTTCAGAATTCCTTTACAAATTTCAAAGAGCCTCCTCTTCGGAGGCATCACTTCAAATACTTTGGGTTTTTTTTTTTTTTTTGTCTTGGAGTAACATTGTTCTGCCTTTGATGTCTGTGATCCTGGGAAATGAGGTGACTGGGAGGATCCAGGCCCAGCAGTCACCTCTTCTCCTAGCCCATGCAGGCTGGCAGCTAATGAGGTCAGACATGGAACTCCAGGTGCATAGGGCAGGACTGTGGTTGGGGTGGAGTGGCCGTTCCAAAAGGAGCAACAGGCAATTGTGATAGTCCTTGAGTTTTATTTTTAAAATCTACTTTGAAGCATTTTGGGAGTCCCAAAGGAACCTTTTTCATGTCATTTTTTTTTTCTTTAGAATTTCCTCAAAGCTCCTTAAGGAGATTTGACATACTCCAGATTTAGCATTTCAATGAGCTTTTTTTCCTGTCTTGATTTTTTTCCCCATTTTTAATTTCTCCTCTGATTTTTAATTAGCTGTCTCTGAGATTACAAAGTTTTCAAACTCAACAGCAGAGTTTCTGGAAAGTTTTTCATGTGTGAGTTCATTCTGGCAATACCGTATACCCTGCCTAACTCAGAGATGGTAAAGACTCAAGGACTTGTTGTGGCCCACTTAGGGGTACTGGCCTCCTTTATAAACCTCCTTTATTAAATACTCAGAGACCCTGAATATTTCTTCTTGGTTGGGTTTATTTTTTTGTGGGGGGGGGGTTGCATTTTTGGTTTTGGTTTTGCTTTTTTGAGGCAGGGTCTTGCTACAGAGCCCAAGCTGGTCTCAGACTTGCTTTGTAACTCAGACTGGTCTTGAACTCACGATCTCCCTACCTTAGCCTCCCAGGTGCGGGATCAAAGTAGTGTATAAGCACACCCGGTTCTGAGTGGGTGAGTAGTGCACAAGCACACCCAGTTTTGAGTTCTTCTTCGCAGCATCTTGGTGATTTTTCTCTCTTCAGGAACCTCAGACAAGTCTAATCTGGAGCTGATCACCCTAACGTGTACCTGTGTGGCCGCCACCCTCTTCTGGCTCCTATTAACTTTGTTTATCCGAAAACTGAAAAGGGTAAGAACACATAAGATGAAGATCTATGCTCTTTTTTACACAACATTCTAAATTGCCTGGCCTGGCTAAAGGACTGGTTCAAGCAGCAAGAGCACCTGTCTAGAAGCATGAGGCTCTGAATTCAAATCCCAGTGCTGCCAAAAAGAAAAAGTTCCTAAATTGTCTGGCCTGCCATCTATGGCAAGCCCTAAACAAACACTGAACCCTATTCTTTTCCTTCTCCCTCATTCCTATGTCTGACCTGGTGAACGTGGAAGATTAAAGTGTCTCCAACCACAAAGCAGGTATCAAAGAAAAGCTAGGACAAGGGACGGATGGCTATGTTTCAGATATTTTGGTCTAAAAAATGTGATCTAGAGAGGTTTTTTTGGTTTTTAAAATTATTTTCTTGGCATTATGGCTAGAACCCAGGGCCTTCTGCATGCTAAGCCAGTGCTCTACCACTGAGCCACACCCCCAGCCTGCCTGTCCTAGAGTCTTTTCATTTGTTTGTTTGTATGTTTTTGAGACAGGATCTCACTATGTAGCCCAGGCTAGACTTAAACTTTCCATCCATCTGACTCAGCCTCCCAAGTGCTAAGCTTGTAGGCACACACTACTATACCAGTCTACAGGTTCTTAAATTTTAATTTAGCGTGTGTTCTGTGGAGTCTTCATTGTCTTAACCTCATTCTCTGCCAAGAAATAAAAGGAAAGCACAACAAGGTCCCACCTCTGACTTGGCTCTGTAACATTATGGACATACAGATAAAGATACTGCTCTCCCACACTTTCTGGGTCCCACCATGATGGTGTGAGGTCCACATGGGAACTCAGGCCCTCAGAGTCCTATAACCAGGCCTGCAATGTGACCTGCTTCTCTGCAATTCATTTACTCGTTCATTCATGCCTCAAATATTTACTGCGAGCCTGTTCAGTGCAGAGTTCCAGGCCTTGTGCCAGGACCTCTGGTGACAGTGGAAAGCACATGTCATTGTGCAGTCAAGGAAGACACTGACTTGAATTAACGGCGCAGTCCAATGTCAAACTGCAACTCTGCGTTAGCTGAAAAAGTTGGCTGGCCAGAAGATGTGTCAGAGGCAGTGTGGTGCAGAAGGGAGGAGAGGGCGTTAAAGGCAGAGCTGGGCTTGGGAAGGGAGACACAGAGAGAGTGAGATACTGGCAGAGGGCCAGCAGGGCTCAGTGGTGAGAACGAGATGAGGCTGCCAAGGCAAAACCATGATTGGGCTGTAAAGTCTGGCCAGGCAGAGAGCCTTGTAGGCCTTGGTAAGGAATTGACTCTGTATTCTAAAGAAAAAGCCATGGCAAGCCTTGGGGAGGGGAGGAACATTAAGCAATGGTGACGTATGGTGTGACAGATAAGTGTCTGGAAAGATTACTTTAGCTACTCTGAGGAGAATGGACCAGATAAGGAAGAAGGACTAGAGAGGCCCCCAGGAGAAATCTTATGGTAAGTTGTCCAAGTAAGAAATGATGGTGGCACTGACTCAGCAATTAGAGAGAGAGATACCTAGAAGGTAAAATCAATGGGATCTGAGAAAGGCAAGAACCTCTGAAATTCCTAGAGATTAGCCCTTATTCATGTACCATGTCTCGTAGGAAGCTCTTTATATAATATCTCAATTAATCCTCCAAATGCAAGGAGGTAGATATATTATTCCCATTTTATGGAAGGGGAAACTGAGCCTCAGAGAGGTAAAGTCATGGGTCCAAAAAGGTGTACTTGACAATGTTGATGTGAGGGGCGAGGCTAGCAGCCACCCTCCATGGTAAATGTGTGACATCAGGCTTTTGTCATATGAAGTGATTGGTTTTGACACATAACAAAGTCACTGCTTTAGAAGAAAGTAAGGTCACACAATAATTTTTAAAGGGGGGGGGGCACATCATATGGGGAAATACATCTAACAAAAGCAAAACCTGCCAAATCTGTAGAGGATGTACAAAGCAGATGTAAAGGCGGAGGGGAAAGAAAAGACTTCAGAGAAAGCAATGCTTGAGATAGACTTTGAAGGTCATAGCTGGGAAGAAAGAACCAGAAAAATAGAGCCTTCTCTGCCCCCTCCTATGCTGGACTGGTGCAAAGCCTGGTTATATAGCATATAGGATCACAGTGGAATAAGACTGGAAAGGTAAGTTGAGGCCAGACTGGAGTGGTCCCTCTGTTCTAAAATTCTGTAAAATATTGATGATGGGAACAAGAGATCATTATCTCAAAAACAAGATGCTTCCAAAATTTAGTAGTGAGAGGCAAAGAGGCACAAGACACCCCAATATTTCCATGTGGTTTCTCTAACCACATTGTAAATTCCTCATTGATAACGATTGTATTTTAGCTTTTGAGCCCCACACCAGTGCTGTAATTATAGCCAACGTGGATGGATGCTTGCTATAAACCAGGTCCTGTTCTAACAGCTTTATGGTGATTATTTCATTTGATAGTCACAACAACCCTAGGAGATAAGTGTAATTGCTATCACTATTTTACAGATAAGGAAGCAGGCATGGAGAGGTTAAGCAACTTGCCTAGGGTTCTGTGGCTGGTCAGAAGGCAAGCGATGAGTCAAATCCAGGCAGCCAGTCTACTAGCTGCTCAGTGTTAATGTCAATTCAAAGAATAAATATTTGTCAACTAACCTTCTACCATCATACTCTCCTCAAAGCCCTGCCTTAAGGTCTGTGTGGTGTTTCCTCTCATCTGCCTCATTGACATAAACCATAAAATTCCATAGGTGCCACATAGGGACACTCTCTCCTGCTGCCTGTTTCCCTGCCTTGTCAACAGTACACTATCCTACACTCCCTATCCTGCACAAACCCAAGATATCCCTTCCTAGGTTTCAACTACTTTACCTTACTTTGAAGTTTAGAAACTGTTTCTCATGGCCTTAACTATACAGGATATTGAAAACATTAGTCATAGAAATTATTCCAGCAGCTTCTTTCATGAATACCCAACACCCCGTATGGGAATTTATACTGTCTTACAGTCTTACACTACCTGGGTCCTTACAGTCTTAACAGTTCATGACAAAAGCACTCCCTGTCTTTGATTTCTACCCTTCATGGAGGCAGTCAAGCCTTTCCATCTTGAGTTATTTGTTATACATTTTAGTGATAATTTTTGTGAGAACGATTGCAAGTGATGGATGAGGTGAACTGTGACAGCCGGGGACAGGGTGAGTAAGGGCTGAAGAATGTGGTGGGTGTGAGATGGTGTCCATGAAAAGGCTGTCTGCTCCACTTTAACTCTGATCCTGTCTAGGGAAAAGCCCCAAAAAAGGGCCCCAACATCATTTAAATGAAGATTTCAGAACTTCTAGGCAAGAATCCTTTCTGTTGCTCAAGAATCTGCCCTCAGAAATGCTGGAAATATGTCCATTAATACGAAATGTACCTGCTGATAGGAATCTGACATTGAATGTAAATCCAATTATCTATGACCTGACATAAAAGGTATTTTCTGGGCTTGATTTGCATTCCCAAGGAAACAAGCACGTCAAGGAAGATGCCTTATTCACTTGACAAACTACCAGTGGCCTAATGAACTCAAAATGTGCTGTGTCTTATGTAATTTTTACTCCTTGGCCTTTGAAATAAAACTTCTAGTTCTTAGAAAGTTCCTAGAACTCGGCAAACCTTAGTCTCATCTCACCAATAAAGTATATAGTCTTTCAGGAAGCTGAAGCAAGTGAGAGGTTTAGCCTCCTGAGTGTTTGAACACTTGGTATACAATGTGTTTTCGATGTCCAGGGACCCTGGATTTTCTTCACCACTTCTGGCCTTTCTTGAAGATGTGGAAAAGCCACAGTCACTCCACTGCTGGTCCATCTGTAATGCATATTACTGCCTGCAAAGAATGCCCTGGAAAGCTATTTTTAGTCATTGTTTGGAATTTTATTAAAATGCTTTGCATTTTTTAGAAAAACTATCACATAATGGTTTTAGAACAAGCATGACATATAAAGTCACTCGAGAATGCATTTGATTCAAGAGGGGGTAGTGAATGAAGCTAGTGCTGACAGAAATGTGTGAGAAGGGAAAGGAGTTACATCATAGAATTTTTACACTCAAGGGTGTGTGTGTTTGTGTGTGTGTTTTGTGTGTGGACATTTTCTGAACCTGACCACACATTTCCAACCAAGTGACCCAAGGCGGGCTGGAAGAGTGGCTTAAGTGGTAGAACACCTGCCTAGCAAGAGTAAGGCCCTGAGTTCAAACCCCAGTACTGCCAAAAAAAAAAAGACACAAAGCACATGTTGCCAAGTATCATTTTAAATTGACTATCTGGGGTTTTTAAGTTGTTTTCTTCTTGGTTCTTGGTGACTCTGAAGTTTCTTTATTTTTTAGTCTTCCTCTGAAATAAAGACGGACTACCTGTCAATTATAATGGACCCTGGTGAAGTTCCCCTGGATGAGCAGTGTGACCGGCTTCCTTATGATGCCAGCAAGTGGGAGTTTGCCCGGGAGAGACTGAAGCTGGGTAATGTATCTGTTAGGCAGACACATGAACCTAGCTGAGTAACTACTGCATACAAAACACCATTCTTTGAAGGGTGCAAAGTAAACCAGGTCTGCAATTCCACCCTCAGCTGCCCACAAACCACAAGGGCCACGGACACAGAGGTAAAGAACACTAAGCGAATCTGGCTTACAGAACAAGGTGGCAAGGAAGCACCTGTGTGCTCATTCAGCAGGACGTAAGCACAGTCCCTGAGGATCTGGGATGGGGAACACTGTTCTAAGCTCTGGGGATACAGAGGTGTTGGGTCTTTGCCCTCAAAGGATTAGTCTGGAGACAGATGCAAAAGTAGGTGAGGGGAGATATTAGGAGGTTTACAAGTACAGGTGCTGTTAACTAATGAAAGTAATTCAGGTTGGCGAGGAATGATGAAATTGAGTATTTGGTTAAAGAGTTGGCGTTCGCCAAGGGTGTAGATCAAAACTTGCCTGTGCAAATCCACGAGTTACATCCTCTGAGTTTCCTGGTGCTGGGAAAGTGCAGACAGAGGGGAAAGCCCTAGGGATAACTGTAGTTTCATTTTTCAGAGCAGAGGCTTGTTTTCCAGGTAGGGCAGATGCTGTAAACAGCAGGCACACGTGCGTTCCCTCAGCTTACCCTGCTCCTTACTCAGACGTCACAATGCACATGCAGCAACAGCCCGTGGTGCTTGTTACTCCTGCCCAAAATGTTTTGACTGCGGCTTCTGAAAGTTTTCCATTCATTCCTGTGTATGCCAGAGTCATTACTGGTTGGAACTAGGAAAACAGATTGTGGTCCAGAGATCCTGGGGCTTGTTACTCTCAGTGTGAAAAGCCTGCTGTTTTCAATCCAATGGCATGACCCCTCTCTCAGCTTGCAAGCTGTATTGGGGTAGGGGGACAGAAAGGAAAATGATTTCTCTTTTCTCTTGGGTCTTTTCTGTTTGGCTTGGGAAAAATAAAGCTTAGAAGTCAGCTAAAAGCTGGAGCCAGGAGAAAGCTAGCAATGGCTGCTGACAGGAAAAGAACCCAACCAAATTTAGAGAAGGGCAGGTGGCACACTGGATATGCTCCTTCTGTAACTCTGAATTACATGGCAGCTCGCCTAGCCTCTTGTGGGAAAACATGGATCGTTTTCCCACAATCAGGAGCCATTTTCAGGTCATGCTGCTCTCCAAAGACAGCAGTCACAATCAAACAGGTTTCTTCCGGGACAGGACACATGAGCTTTCTCTCCTGCTCCCTCATTCCTCTCTAGCATCACTTTGATCCACTGCACAGCCAGGGAGATCATCCATCCTTCTACCAGAACTCCCCCCGGACTCAGTGGGTTCACCTAATCCCATTTCAGGAGATTCTCTTTGCTGAAGATCTTTCTTACGGTTCTTTTCCTTCCTGGAGTTGCCACATGCTATGATTTGGTGGGTTTCTATTTGAGTGTCTTCTGATGGGTTCAAGAAAAAATGTCAAGTCTACTGCATTGATTTTTGATGAACAGTTCGCTGCACAGTGGGAGGACTGTTCCTCTGATTAACATGGGAGCCAGGAGGCCCGAGACGTCTTGGTTTTGGAAGCCAAATAAATGACAGAAAGTAATCTGAAGTAATGTCTGTCCAGTGAAAGTAACCATGATTATGTTTAGACCAATGGAGAGAAAAATGCTGGTTTGAAGGGCAGTTGCACTGGAGTTGGAAGCAGAAATACACACCAAGTAGTTATTTTTACTACATTTATTCTATCCATTGTGGTTTCCAGCCCTGGTGAGGGAAGGCAGAAGTTATAGCGCCTGACAGATGGTTCAAAGATATTGCTACCATTGAAATTTCTGAAAGCCAGGAGCAAAAGAAATCTGCCCTGCCCCTTTTCATGATTCTTCACTTACCCTGGGAGAGAATTCAGCTTCTACAAATTTGTTACAGAAGTTAGGATAATCTCCGACATAGCACCCTTCTATTGGAAAATAATTTAAAGGCATTACCTCCTAATATGAGAAACCACACAGGGAATCTGGTTGTAACTGGGTAAGCCTATGGTGCCTAGGCTGCTGCGGCATCTTGTATGACCAGCTCCCCTGTCAGAAAAGGGCCCACTTCATGCTGCCTTGTGCTGTCCCCAGAGTGGTCAGGGATCCTGGCCAGTCTAGGACAGTCTCAGAGGAGATTCCAGTTTGTTGCATTGCATGAGGATGACCTAACACATTTCTGAGCTAGTTAATGGAATTCCAGGCAACACTAAGGAGAATTTCAAGGGAAAGGATCAGGCGAGGTCAAGTCCAGTGCGACTGGACTCCTTGAACTAGAACCAACACACCAAATGATTAAAGAACCTGTAATAGCTTCATGCTGTTTTATGAGGCAGCAGTTGGTTTCCAAGAGCATAAATGAAAAGACTGAGAGAAGCCAAGTGAGAACCAGTGTGCTCTCCCTGATACAAGGAGAGCCCCCAAACACTTGTTAAAACAAAGTGTGTTATGACGGCTGGCAAGGGAATGTGTGGGGGCGGAAGTTAAGGAAAGGAAAAGGATTCCATGTGCCCCAAAAAAGCAAGAGTCTTAGAAGGGTGAGGAGAGATTATCTTGCCATTTCTCAGGCTTTTCACATCAGATGTTGGGAGGGACTGAAAACACTGTTCCTTTACCTTAAGTAAAGCAGGGAATTAACCTCCAACCAAAACGCACAATTTTTACCAATCTAGAGATGCCTGCCAGAGCTCTTTCCCCATGTGATTTCCAAGTGCAACACATCCAGGGACAGTAGGATGCTTTTTAATTTTAACCTAGGAGTTCCCATTCTCATCTATTTCTTAGATGATTTTACATGAGAAAGGAATCAGAGACTGTGCCTTTGGCCATGTTGCAGACTCTGGGAGGAGCAAGGTTTAGTAGTCACCACAGGTGCATGTCTGACCAGAGGAAGGACATGTCAACTCACCAGTGTTCTCTTCCTGAGGTAGAGTGTGTCTCTGACTGAGACAGCTAGCCAGAGGCTCTTATGATTACGCTGGTAACTGAAATTTCCTAAATCCTAACTGGATGCCTGGGTTAGTAGATAGCAGAAGATATTAACCCGAGGCAAGGTGAAGACATTTAGGTCACTGAGTAATTGTGCATGAAAGGATAAAGGCTCTGGTGTGAGTAGGAAGCAGGAATGCTTCATTATGAACCATACAAGAAACAAAAATACACACATCCTTGGGGGAAGGGATTGGAGTATGAGGAAGGAAGGGGCGAAGGAAGGCTAATTAACTGAAAGTACATTATCAGGACAGTCTGAGAAGGGGGACTGGGTTGGGAAAAAAGGGGTTGTGTGGAATTAGCACTCTAACTGTCAGGATTTACTTTTGACCAGGGGCATTCTGTGGTTGTTTATATTTTTCTCACAGAAAGGCCAAAGAGGAGTGATTTTCTTGGCTTACTGTTTTTTCAGCTTATCATGCTGGAGATTGACTGTTTCTTGTGGGTCTATTTAGTGCTCTGTCCCTTGATAGGACAAAAGGAAGTCCCCAGATGTAAAATGTGGCTAGGATATTCCAGTGGAGGGCTCCCCAAAAGATGACAGTCTTGTGGTCTCCATCTCACTGGTCCCTCTAGTTACCTGTGAGTGCATGGGACTTGCTTTGGGCATCCTACACTCCATTCTGCTCTCCATTCTGCACTAACTGTGAGGGCACCTTCTCCACACCAGGCACTCGGCAAAGTACGAGGATGATTCAGTATCCTTGTCCTCTGAGTCAGTCTGGCTCATTCAAAGGCAGAGAAAGGAACGTATTAACAGCCACGATAGCACAGTATGAGGGGTACCACAGCAAAAATCTTGCTTTATTATTGCACTTGGCAACCACCTCTCTGGGGTTGAAAGAAATTACTACCAGTGGTTGATGGGCTCATGTGCTGAAAACCACAACGATTTGTAATGACAATAATAAAAATCATCTAAGAGCTGCCAGGAATAAATACTGTCTGGCAAGGAGGTCTGAGAAATGACTTATTGTTTATTTTTTTAAGTTATGAAGCATTATTCAAACCCATTTTTGATTCCTCCCTTTTTGGCTGAAAACAAAAGAAATGACCTTCAGCTGGAAAGAAAAGGGGCCTCTGTTACACACACAGAGGAGTCTTGTTGATAATGTGTTGTCATTGTTATTGCTATTGTTTTTCATAGTCCTGGGGTTTGAACACAGGCACTCTACTGCTTGAGTCACACCTCCAGCCTGGTGACAGTGTGACTAAACAATGGAAGAGACCACCCAAAACATGGTAGTCCTCCCATCTGGGAGGACCCATGACAAGGAAACTGGCCATTTACCTTCAGTGAATGCTCTAGGATCTGAAGGATGTGGGGGAGGGGAACCCAGAGGCAGAGGAAAGAGTTGAGAGGAAGAGACCCCAGAATTGTGCCCCTTATTATGTCTCCTTTGGGGTCTGTTCATTGCAGAATCCATTCAAAGCTACTTGTCTCACATAACACATAGGAAAAGGCATTTCCTTCCTGACAAAGACTTAAACTCTCCCTGCTGATTTGGCAAACAAACCAAGGTCTTCTTTTTCATTGTAGGCAAATCTCTGGGAAGAGGGGCTTTTGGGAAAGTGGTTCAAGCATCTGCATTTGGCATTAAGAAGTCACCCACCTGCCGGACTGTGGCTGTGAAAATGCTGAAAGGTATGTATGTAGTTTGGCTTTCAGTTGGCCAGTCACCTTTTTTCATTCCCTAAATGCTGAATGTAGTTGAGATTGGTGGAATAGCTCAAGTGGTAAGAGCATCTGCCTAGCAAGTGTGAGGCTCTGAGTTCAAAACCCAGTACTGACCACAAAAAAAAAAAAAATGTAGCTGAGGAATGAACACGAGCTATTTCTGCTCTAGTCACATCACTTTCTTTACTGCTGGGAACCCCTCTACTCCAGGAGTTTTAGATTAGGCCTGCACTAGCTTGGAAGAAATCTTGTCAATGGAATAATCCAGAACTGTCCATGGGAAAATGATCTCTGTCACCCTAAGGTCTTTCTCTTCTCACATCTCAAACTAGACCTCTAGGGACTTCACACCCACTGCAACCATAGGTTCGAAATGTTGGCATGACCTGCTGTGACATTGTAATGGAAACTTTGGCTGCACATCACAAATCGCAAAAGCTTAGTTGTTCTAGAAAGTTAAAACAACTTAGTTGATCTGACTTCAAACTATCTTATACTGTTAAATCCTAACCATTTCCTCTTTAGAAATTAAAAAAACAAAACAAAACTGAATTACATCTTCCTAGTGTTGAAAGATACTACCACTCTGGAAAGCACTTGAAAGGGGAGCCAAATCACGCCATGATTTATGAGTTCTACTTACTATCAGACAGACTGAAAATGAAACTCAGGGAAAAGTGTGGAAGGGCCATATATCCTGTAGAGGGTAGAAATACTTTGCTTCCTCATTTGTGATAAAATTTTTGGTTGCTTCAACTTACTTTTAAGATTCCAAAACCAAAAAGAAGTAGGACTAAAAACTCTAAGAGCAGTGTTTAACCAAAGCCTTCAAGATATTGCCAGGGGGTTTTGAAGCCCAGGGAAATTTTGTGCCCTTAATTGGGCACAGGCTAGGGGTGATAGCCATGTTATTTGGAAGACTTCCAAGGTCTCACTCTTTCCCATCACTGACATTGTTCCTTCAGAAGCCCCATATAAACACATTTTCTACCTCAAAAGGTTGTTCTCATCAGAGGAAGACCGATAAAACTCGAGAAAGGGGTTGGACAGTGTGTGAAAACTCAAAAAGGCAGACTAAGTTCTAGCATCTTATAGCTCAGTGGGGTGACTGTAGTTACAACAACATACTATATTTGATAAAGAAGTCGAAGCCACCACAAAGAAATGATACATGTTTAAGAAGAGGGAAATGCTAATTACCCTCATTTCATCATTACATATCATATACATGTGTCAAATTACCACGACTACATAAATATATAGTTATTATGCCCCCCACCCTGAAAAATGAACAAAACCCTCACTCTATAAAGAACCTGAGCGCTCTCCTCGGACAGCCTGGGAAGGAGTTTTGTGTTCACCATCAGGACTTTTGATCAGGGTACACTACCCAGATGCTGTGGGCATTTCTGAGAATACTGGCATACTGGCACTTCCCACCCACCCTCCAGATTCTGAAAGAAGTGGCACCAACATGTTTTCTATGTGAGAAAGCACCAGACTAGACACTTTAATATATCAGGCCAAACCACACAAATAGCTGTTTTTCTTCTATGTGGTACCAGAAGTCATTTGGAAATATGAGTCAATTCCACACAGGAATCATGTGTGAATATCTTTATAAGTGCATCTTCTTATTTAAGCCATCAGCATTGATTGAAAAGAACTGACAAACCACCCACTCTATAAAATTCCTATGAAACCATTTTTATTCAGCTTTCTTACTTACATGGGTTGGCCATCTGTTTTGGAGAGAAATAGAAGAAACAGAATGTCAAACAAAGGACATAAGTCAAAAGCTCTTTCAAAGTGTCCCCGAGCAAAACCTTAACCTTTCTGGACTTCACACCCATGTCTGAAATGAGAACAATAACCACCTTGTTTATTTATCCAAAAATATTTGTTCAGCGTCTACTGTGAGCCAATCCCCACCCTCATTGGGAGGCTTCTGGAGTTTATCTGATTATTATTAAAAGTGACTTATGCTTATGAAATACTATGTCAGTATCTACAGCAATATTAAATGCACATACCTTTGACCCACTTCCAAGACTGTCCTACAGAATACTTGCACATGTGCACAAGATGACACACACGCTTCCTATTACAGCATTATTTATAATAGCAAAAAACTGTACAGTCAAAATGTCAGGAACACATTAATCAATTAAGAGGAATATATCCTGATATATTAAAAGAGGGTCAAAACAAATTTTATATGAATATATATATATATATATATATGATCCCATTATATACACACTCAAGAAATGACTATTCATTGGGTATTTATAAGTGCATAGAAAAAAGTCTGAACCCCAAATTGTTAACAGTGGCTGTTAATTGGAGTAACTTGCACTTTTACTCTTGATCCTTCTACTCCATATCTTTGTTTTTGTTTGTTCTTATTTTTTGGTGCTGGGACTTGAACCCAGGACCTTGAACATGCCAAGCTCATGCTCTATTACTGAGCTATAACCCACCCACTCCTACTCCAGATCTCTTTACCTGCCCATCCACCACAGTATTGGAATAAAATACTTAAAATTTTTTAAATGCCTCAGAAATTAACCAATAGGACTAGGCAGACAGAATAGACTCAATTTTGGTTTTAGACTAATTCTTGGACTGGCCTTGCTAATCTCTGAGAATGAAGTGTGGATCCTTATAACTCTGGGAATGAAAAGGTACAGGGAGAAAAGAGCGCATTGCAGAAGCAGCTATCCCTGCCCGCCCCCCTTCTTTGTGACTCCCAGAGAGGGAGAGGGAGAGGTGGGAGGTGGATCCCCTGTTTGGAGGGTTCTTGCTGCACCTGTTTCTGCCAGAAGGGAAGCCTTTGGAAAACAGTTATGAGGTGCCCAGCTCTGACTCAGCACGCTGCTGAGTGCAAGGAGGTCCACCAAGAGGAAATGTGCAGTGACTAACTCCACCATCGCACTGGGCCCCACTGTAATCAAAAGGATGTCGGCTGAGGATGGTAGGAGTAATGAAAACAGTCTGGAGAGCTGGCCTTTTTGCAGAATGTGGGGAAGTTAATGAAGCAACCAGTTGAGCACTTACAAACAAGGAAGGCAGGAATGCCGCCTCCAGCGGAAGGAGCCCCATTGTCCTGTGGCCCTGACTCTTCCTTGCTTCTCACACAGAGGGGGCCACAGCCAGCGAGTACAAAGCTTTGATGACTGAGCTCAAGATCTTGACCCACATTGGCCACCATCTGAACGTGGTTAACCTGCTGGGAGCCTGCACAAAGCAAGGAGGTAAAAGCGAAGGAGCCCTCTGACTGACGCATCACCCCTTCTCCCTCCTCCCCCACTTCCTCACCCCTCACAATAGGTCCAGAGAAGAAACAGTCTATCATTTTATGGAGAGGTGCTCCCATGGTTGAAATTCCTTGCCTGTACAGTTAAGAGAAAGCTTAAGAAGAGAGGGACTCTCTTTAGAGCTTCCACGGGCTCTAGGCCAGGTGGAGGGCACTTTTCTCTCAGGATGATGTTGAGAAAGTGTGACTGACGCTGAAGTATAAGACATTGCACATTCCTTGCAGCTTCACGTAAAACAGTGAATCACTACTGGGGAGTTCTCAGGAAGAGATAATGTGGGAGATGACTGGGAGGGCCCTCCCTTCAGATCCATGGTACAGGCAGGCATTACCCCCTAGAGCAAGTGACAGGACTAGAGCTGAGCCTGATGACACAGCGTGGGAGAGCTCCAGCAGGTTCTTGCAAACCTTTCTTTCTTTCTCTGTGGCAAGCTATCTACTTGGAGATAGATGTGCAATCATTGCTTAAGCCAGAAAGAAAGGTGCAGATTTGCTGTGCATATAAATGTCCTGCAAGCTCCCAACAAAGGAAGTAGGGATGAAGGAGCTTGAGGAAGACCCACCTGCTAATAGTGACCTTGGGTAGGACAAAGAGTTAAGGTAACCCAGACACAGCCCACTGCTTCTGCATCATCCCTCAATAAGCTGCCGAAACCTCATTCTGCTTGCCTCATCCCTGCACTAGTAAACCGACCAGGGTTAAATGAGACTAGCACCTCAGGGTGTGCCCCTGAGCGCTGCACAGTTGGGTTTCAGGATGGAAGCCTCTTCTGGGTGGGGCGGAGGACTGCTGTACTCCAAGCAGGCAGGTGCTGGGATTTGCCAAATCCTCTTCTCCCATGGGGAGACACAGAAGCTCTAGAAGCAACCACCCTGCTAGAACTCGGAGGAAAGAGGAGGTACTGTCAGGAGGTATTGCCAGGATTCCGAACACACATTTAAAACCTAGCAAAATCCTGGTAGTAACAGAAAGCCACTCTACCAGGAAGAGCTCAGCAAGCCTCAAAGAAACAGTAGAGTGCCAGGTCCTTTCTGTACAATGGACCTGGGGGACCCGTTGGCTCCCAGCATGCAGCCCACTGGACTTCAGGAGTCATTCCCACTCTGACTTGGAAGTGGTTCTTGTGCTGTCGGGGAAGTGTGGAGCAGAAGAGAAGTGACTGTATTTCCTTCCCAACAGTTTGCTCCTATTATACCAGTGGAGGGTGAAGGACTTCCAGCCTGTGGACTTAGAATAGTTTGACTTTTTTAAGTAGTTGAGGGGAAAAAAAATCAAAAAGAATACTTTAGGACATGAAATTCAAATTTCTGTGTTCATAAATCTTTATTAGCCCAGTTATATTAACAAGGGCTATTTTCAGGGTAAAAGGACTGAATTGAATAGTTGGTTGGCCCATCTATCTCCATTTTCTCAGGTTCAACTAAAAAACATATCCTGTTTAACCACCTCTCCTCTGTAGGTTGGATTCCTAGGCTCTGCTAGTATAGACTGATTGCAGTTTCTTAGTCCAGCTGAAGGCTGGCAAGTGGTGACTGACTTGGTATGGCTGAGCATGTGTTGTTTTGGCTGCAGGGCCTCTGATGGTGATTGTTGAATACTGCAAGTATGGAAATCTGTCCAATTACCTCAAAAGCAAGCGTGACTTATTCTTTCTCAACAAGGTGAGGCATAGTTGTTTTTAAGGTCAGTACCTATTAAATCATCTTGATAATTTTATTTCCCATTAACATATATACACGTATATATGTAGATATGTAAAATCAAATACATAAGTCACTTCTTTCTTAAAGAAAGTTGATAGCAAATATATTTGTCTGCATTTATTAGACAAAGGGCACAATCAACTGAACGACTTGTGTATTGCCAATAGACCAGTGATGGGACCAAAGCTAGAAATCATTTTGTTTACTTCCTTTCTCTCACTTCTTGACACCTTCATTAGCCAGATCATCTCTAACTCACTCTGAATCAGCCTTGTCAGCCTCTCTCTGAGAGAGAGAGACAGAGAAAAGAGAGAGAGAGAGAGAGAGAGAGAGAGAGAGAGAGAGAGAGAGAGAGAGAGAGAGAGAGAGAGAGAGAGAGAGAGAGAGAGAGAAGGGAAGGGGAATGTAGGGGAGTGGAGGAAAGAAAAGAAGGAAGGAAGGGAGGGAGGGAAGGAGGAATACTGAGAGTTTGGCTCAAGTGGTAGAGCACTTACCTAGCAAGCTCAAGGCCTCAAGGCCTCAAGGCCCCAAAAAAGAAAAAAGAAAGAATGAAAGAAAAAAAAGTTTGATTTGGGTCCAACCTAATGCCACTGGTCTGTATGGTAGATGAATTGTCAGATAGCCAAGAATGATGTCCATCTCTGTGATGTGGGCAAGTCTTCACACACAAATAAGGACACTGAATACACTGGCCTACAGTACCAGTTACTCAGGAAGCTGAGATGAAAGGATGCTTGAGTCTAGGAGTTCAAGACCAGTCTGGGAGACATAGTAACACTCCATTCCAAAAAAAAAGAACCACTGGAAAGCTGGCCCATTCTCTCATCCCCAACACTTGGATCTAAACAAAGACATGTGTTCTACCAGATAGGCCATATATATGCAAGAATATTTTGCCCAGTTTTAAACCAGGCTAATTGGAACCTTGAATGGGATCTTTACGATCAGCTAGTTCACACTCTCAATTATGGAGGTGTTTAGAGAAGTCAGGTGATTGGTGTAAGGACACACAGTTACCACGAGATGAAGTTGGGAAGAAAGACCCAGCATTTCTGACTCCTCTTTCAGTGCTTTTCCTGTAAACCCCACTAAATAAGGTGAGGAAAAATAAGAAAAAGTGGCCATGGACTGATTGCAGTGCAGATTCTTTTCAGTCCTAAAGTCCTGGACTGGGTTCAGGAAGAGCTAAGCCAACAGAACACCCCAGGGACCTGGGCAGGATGGAACGTTTGGGTTCATGCGTCCTTTGTTTTGAAGAGTTTGCTTCCTTCTCTGGCTATATTTAATGACTCTCCTCCCTGTGCTATTTGGTGGAGCTGTGTTTTTATGGAAAACCCATGGTTACCTTTCACATTTGCAACCTAAAGAAATGTAGAGAGATGTATGTGTAGGGGGCACTAAAAGGCTACATTGAAAATAGAATATGTTATTTTCTAAATAAATTCACTTGGGTCCTTAAATAGTATTTATAATAAATTTATAAGTCTGCCAGAGTCCCAAAAGTTCAGTAAATTAATTTTGTTTAACAGAGAATTACCAATAAGCAAAGCTGAACATACCATTGATTGGGATTCAGAAGGGGATAAGGGAGCTTGGGAACATGTCCCAGGTTGTGACTCCTGGGAGGTATGAGGAAGAAGACTGCCAAAGGGAGTTTTCACAGTTGCTGAGCCCAGAGAGCATTTTCTCCCCACCAATGAGTTTCTTGCTGCTTTCTTTTGTAGGAAGGGTCTTCTGGAAAATCAAATTCCAGTCCCCAAGTGAGCAACCAAATTTAACTACCTCATGGAGACGGAATGACAAATACTTTTTTTTACCTGCCTCCAGGAAAAGGTTGTACACAAGGCTAAGAGCAGGGCAAGTTCTCTTCAGTCCTGAAATCTTGGTCTGGATTCAGGAAGAGCTAAGTCAGCAACTCCATGCCCAGCCCCTCCCCCTGGGGACCTAGAGGGAGGGGTTGTTCTGTGGCAGGAAGGTCACTTTTTAGGGGGCAGGAACCCGGGTCCCCTGTACCCTTGCAGAGTTTGTTAGGGCTGTCCCTCCAGAAGCTCCCTCTCCCTATCTTCTGCTTGCTCCCACTGTGCCCTCTGGTGGAAGGATCGCTCTTGCTTTGTGACATCTCTAGAAAAGCCCAGGGAGGACATGGAGCCTGGTTAATCCTCACACAGCCACAGTGTGCAGGTGTAACACACTGAACCCCAGCCCCTCAGACCCCTGTGGCAGTATTGCCATCTAGCAGAATCAGAACTGGGTCTAGGGTCCAGTCGTAAAGCCACTTCACATGCTAAATTTCTGGTGTCTTTGTCACTAGATCAGTTTTTAAAGGCAATAAAAATTCCACATGAACACCCAGAACTGACAACCCTTTTCCTGTGAATCACAAAATAACGGGATGATAGAGCTTTTTAGATGAGGTAAATGAAACCCAGAAAACTAAAGTGACTTGCCCAAGATTGCATGGTTAACGGAAGAGCCTGAGTGCAGACCAGGGCATGGATGCCTGGTCCCAAGTAGAAGGCCTTTGCTACTCTCCTTAGGATCACCCTGTGTTTTCATTTGGCATGGAATGGGTTAAAAAAAAAAAAAAAGAAATGTTGATATTTCCCTTCCCCAAGAAAGCAGAGACTGTAATGTCAGCCTTCTTTTATAACTTCCCACAAAGATGACAGTGATGCCCCCCGTGCACTGAGATCCCTTTTCATAGCTGAATGCTGTGAATAGCGAAGGTTCATGTCACCTTTCACAAGATGTGAAAGAAAAGGGGTTAAGGGCACAGACTTGGGACTTGGCCAAGCTTGGTTCAGGCTCTGCTGTTTATGAGCTGCAGATGAGTTTGGTAAACTTCTCTGACCTCGTTCCTCCCCGCAGAAGTAAGAACCATTCATAAAACTGTTGGGAAGATTAAATAAGAAAATACAACCTGGCTCACATGGAGTGACCCAAGATTGACCCAAGATGCTGTCTCGAGGTCCAGTCAAGCACAGAGTAGAAACCACAACCCCAGAAGTAACCAGGCTCCTGGCCCCAATGGGCCATCGTGGCTAATTCAGTATTCACTTTGGGGAGTGACACTTTCCAACTGAGGCAATTGCCTGCATGAGGGACCAGTGTGACATTGCTGTGGTGGGACTCCCTCTCACCTGTGTCCTTCCTGGTCTGTTCTAAGGATGCTGCTTTGCACATGGAGCCTAAGAAAGAAAAACTGGAGCCAGGCCTGGAACAGGACAAGAAAGCCAGACTAGACAGTGTCACCAGCAGCGAGAGCTACGCGAGCTCTGGGTTTCAGGAAGATAAAAGTCTGAGTGATGTTGAGGAAGAGGAAGGTAGGTATTAATTCCTTCCTGTCCTCTAGTCACAGATATTTTTACAACACACTGTGCATCTCTGACATTTTTTTCTTATTTATCACCCTAATAAACATCCGTGGGAGACGCAGAGGGGAATGTCCTGAGGAGATAAGATTTGAATTAAGATTATTTACAGAGTTACTAATTTTGACAGCGAGCTGTGTGCAATTGTCTCCCTTCTGGCCTTTTTGTGTCTTCCAGGGTCATCCTCCTCCCCCATGTGCAGGTCCAATGGGCTGGAGGCCTGGAAAAATCTCTGATGTTCACATTGAGGGCAGAATGCTTTTGTAAATAAAATTGTTGGTTTATTTTATGCTTTGTCAACATTGTTCCAATACACTGGGGTTTGGAGGAATAAGAAGAGCCATGCAAATGGTTCCAGTTCTAATGTTTTGCAGATTCTAATGAGTTCTACAAGCAACCCATCACCATGGAAGATCTCATTTCTTACAGTTTTCAAGTGGCCAGAGGCATGGAGTTTTTGTCCTCCAGGAAGGTCAGTTTATCTCTATAGTTTTTCCTTTTGTGGGGGAAGGGAAGTTTGAGGTAGGGTCTCTCTGTATAGTGCAGCTGACCTTGAAGCCTCCTAGAGTTACAGGATTACAGGTATGTGCACCACACCTGGCCTTTTCTTCCTTTTGAAAACAATTTTTATCAGAAACATAGAGAAGTTTTTTTTTTAATTTTGTTTCACATTTTTAATTTACTTTTAACTGATACATAAAATTAAACATATTAATAAGATATAAAGTCATATTTCAATACATGTAATCGGTTGCAGAATGTTTGAATTGATTTAAATATATTGATATCCTCAAACATTTATCATTTCTTTATGGTGAAAACTTGCAAAATTCCTTCTTCTACTGTTCTTCTTTGCAAGGCCAGGACACACAGTTCTGCCATAAGTCCATTTCCTGATATTTGCTTATACTTATGACCTTTAAACGAAGAATCAGCACCACATGGAGTCATAACCTGTCCTGATGTGAGCAATTTGTAAATTGAGAGCCTGAGGCGCCAATGGGTAGAATGGAATTGTAGGGGCCAGCCTCACCTGGGTTGGGACTAGACAAATCGGGGACCATTCTCCACAGTGCCTTCGGGCATGTTCTTAAAACTGGCTGAAATCTCAGAGAACATAGATAGCTTCACAGGAGAGCTGCTGTCAGTACAACCACGTGGGGTGTGGTTGCACCTGTAACACCAGCCTCCAGCTGGCTGAGGCAGGAAGAGCACTTCAAGAGGAGTTTGAGGTCAGCCTGGGCTACACGGCGAGACCCTGTGAAAATATAATGAAATTCATTATTTTATACAATTAATACATGCTAATAAAAAATTAAAATAGCTGGCTGCAGTGTCACACACCTGTTATCCCAGCTACCCAGGGAAACACAAATAGGAGGATGGCAGTCCAGACCAGCCTGGGCATAAAGCAAGACTCGATTTCAAAAATACCAGTGCAAAAAGGGTTGGCAGATTGGCTCAAGTGGCAAGCGGCCTGTGTAGCAAGTGCAAGGCCTTTAGTGTCCCCCCCATTAAAATAAATAAAATATTCAGAGTACAGATTAAGAGCGAGTGAATATGCTCAAAGAACACCATATGCATGTATGGAAATATCCCAATGAAATCCTCTTGTTTTGTACGATTAACATACAGTCATGAAGTAATTTTTAAAAGAACTCCTTGTAGATGAAAAGGTGTAAACAGTCTGATACTGTGTCTCACCTTGGTGTTGCTGAATAAAGTTATTTTCTTTTAACAAAAGAAAAAACAGGATCCTAAAGATCTGATCTCTGCTAGTCTGGGAGGAAATCGGAGGGGCCTTCATTTTGAAGTCTCAATTCCATTTTTTCTTTTTTTTGGTGATATGGGGTTTAAACTCAGGGCCTTGCACCTGCCAGGAAGGTGCTCTACCCCTTGAGCCACTCTGCCAGTCTGGGCTAGTCAGGATGAAGGGCTGTGAAGTTTTGCCCCCTGGCAAAGCCCAGTCTGCCAACTTGGCTTGGCTGACGGGACGACGTGGGGACAGTGCATTTCTTGGTTGGGGCCCAAGTGACCTGTGTTTGTAGAGAAGCCTTCATGTTATGGTGGCCCTCTGCCTCCTTAGCAGCACGTGGCATGGATCCTTGAATTAAGAGTAATGACACTGACAGGCCGCAGGAAATCAGTCGGTTAGACGAGGGAAGCACATTGATCACGCGCCTGTTTCATCGTAGTGCATCCATCGAGATCTGGCAGCTCGAAACATCCTCTTATCTGAGAACAATGTGGTGAAGATTTGCGATTTTGGCCTGGCCCGGGATATTTATAAGAACCCCGATTATGTGAGAAAAGGAGACGTAAGTCAGCTTGCTATTTATTTGACTTGTTTATGCCCTATCGTTTATAAACCCTTGGTAACTACTTACGCTCCCAGCAGTAATTCCCCCCAAAACTCTCCTGTGGCTTCGTGAAGGCAGAAGTCCAGATGAGCTGTGTGCCACAAAGCCAGAAAGGCCACTGTCTTAAGCTTCTGTTTGTCCCTAATCCCGGCATGGATCCTGTTCTTTGGGCAGCACTGTCTGCAACTTGTTAACCTCAGTCGTGTTTGGTGGTCCCTGGTGAGCTGTATCCTTCCTTGCCTGATCTCCTCTGGGAGTTCCTTGTCCCACAGAAAAGAACAGCCTGGACTCTTTCCCTCAAATACACCCACATGATTGATTCAGCAGGTGCCTCTGCCTCCGGAAAGGGTGGGGGAGGGAGGTGAGGAAACGCTCACCTCCCTCGGACGCCTTTCAGGACTGGGAGGCATCTCCCTGCTGGCTGGCTTGCTCATGCTGGCCTCTCCTGCCCTATCTGTTTTTGAACACAGTGTGATTTGTCACTTAGTGAGTGACTTCCTATGTCCTCTCTTGTCCTGTCTGCCAGGAGGGATTCAGCTTGTGTCTGGGCTCTACAGCAGAGGCTCTCCAAACTGGAGGGAGAGCACACATCACCTAGAGGGCTTGCTGAACCACAACTGGCTGGCCCCACAGCAGACCCCTGTGCCTGGGAATCCCCATCTCTTAAGCTTCCCCCACTACCCTTTTTTTTTTTTTTTTTGGCAGCACTGGGGTTTGAACTCAGGGCCTCACTCTTGCTAGGCAGGTGCTCTTACTGCTTTAAGCCACTCTACCTGCCCAGCTCCTCCCCTTTTTTGGCAGTGCTGGGGTTGAGCTCTGAACCTAGCACAAGCTGGGCAAACCACTGAGCTCCAGCCCCGGCCTGAGAACCTGCATCTCGTCTCTGGGCAATGCTGCCTGGACCATTCCTTTGAGGAGCACTGCTCCACCATCACCTTTTATAAGAGGGGAAAACCATGCTTTTCTTGGAGCCCTGGTCTGGATAAATGATTTCTGCCTGTGTTTCAGTCTGGCCCTCTTTTCTGTCCATCTGTGTCTTATGCAGCCTCCCTATCTCCCTCCCAAGGCCTTTCTCTCCCTTTGTCTCTTCATTGTTGCATGCCTTCTGCCAATCCCCATCTGGCCAACTCCCAGGCTCACTTGCTGGGATCCCGTTTGGAAGAGAAGGAAGACTTGTCTGCATGCTTGAAGACCAGTCCTACATTTTCCTATACTAAGTACTTACGTGCTAAACCAACTTTCTTCTTTCCAATGTCTTTGCCCTCCCAATTCCATGACTTTGGGAGAGGGAGGGTGCTGAGGACTGAACCTAGAACCTCACACATGCTAAGGTCATGTTCCAGCACTGAGCTACACCCCAGCCTCTAACTCATTGACTTACAATCCTGTCTATTTGTAAAGGGATGCCTTTCAAAATCCTCTTCCTTGAAAAGAATTCTGGGGAAATCACCACCAATTTTCAAGGTGTCTTCTGATTCAGGTCACTGTCCAGCCCTCAGTGTCCCTGTGGAGTGCAGGCTGTATTGCTCTCTTTAGCCAACACAGCAGGCTCTAGGTATTTTCTCTGGTTAGGAAACTGTAGTAGCTGTTTTAGAAAATGGCTCTGGACGAGTGTTACATAAGAGGTGACCCCTGGGCGCTGGAGTTGGATGAGTTTTGTTCTCATGCCTTTCTGCTCAAGGTCCCCTTGTCCTCTTCCAGACTCGACTTCCTCTAAAATGGATGGCACCTGAATCCATCTTTGACAAAATCTACAGCACCAAGAGTGACGTGTGGTCTTACGGAGTGCTGCTGTGGGAAATCTTCTCTCTAGGTAAATGTGGGTGAGGGAGGAAATCCAGTAGCCCAGAAGTCAGTCTTAAGCCTCTGCTGAGCATCCTTTGAATAGAGAGGACCTTGAGGTTAATACCTGAGCTAATTGCAAAGGATATCGGAGGCCTGGTTCCCACCTTAGACAACCAATGGTCTGTGTGTGTGCCCCATACTGTAAGAATGGTTCAAGAACAAGGTCAGCCCATAGAAAATCTGTCCCTTTCCCCTTCTCTAATTCCTCAAACACCTCTGTCTCTAATGACCTTACCCCTCCCCCAGAATACCTTCCCAGGAAAGGCCCTGTGCACAGGTGAGCCAGTGGGAAGGTGTTTGTAAGAAGCAGCAGGCTTTGCTCTGTCGCCTCTGATTTTCACACAAAGGCACACTGCTTTATGCGAGCAAACCATAAAGAACACCAGTTATATTTATTCTGCCTGCAGTGCATCTGCTATGGGTTTCTAAAAGCCGTGTTCAAGGCCCCAGCCTTGGCTGTGCAGAGCTCACATCTGCTCACAGACACAGTGGTGAGGAGGCCTCCAAAATGCAAAGTTCTGGCCAAGAGTTTTTTGGGCTTTGCCAAAATTTTGCCTTTCAGAGCAAATCAGAGTTTCTCAGTAACATCCCTGGCTTCCTGGAACGTGTGAAAATCATTCTCCTGCTTTCAATGACAGGCACCTGTTGCTTCCAGTCTTTGAAAGCAGCTTGGCGACCACAATGGCCATGTAGTGACACAGTGCCAGCACTGAATGTCCCCCAGCTGCTTCCTACCAGCAGCAATGACTACAGAGTGCAAACACATGCTGACATGGCCTAGGCTTGAGGACTGGCTCAGAGTGACCTGGGTGGCCTTGCCCACCTACCCCCTTCAGGGTCCCAGTAAAGGACAGCTACAGGGCATCTCAGTGAAGATGGCAAAGGGACTGAGCCTCTCGGACACCTTGAGCTCTGTAGACTCCTGACCATAGGCAGCCCCTCCCCCACACCACTCAATCATGCACTGAAATCCAAAGCCACCTCCCCTCAGGCCTATCTTACTCCCCAGCGCTGTAAGAATACAAATCACTGCGGCTGGAGTGATTCATAGCCTACTCCAAGTCCACTGGCTTTTCCAAAAAGAGGTCATTAACCCAAGGAGTGAGTCTCTAACGACAGATTGCTTTAGAGTTCCTTGTGGGGACAGGGTAGGGACCCTTCTGGTTGTCCTTTCCTCTGACCAGTCAGGGAGGAGTGGCCTTTGGGCATCAATCAGACACCCAGCAACCATGGGACCAACCAGCCAAATGTGTGTCCCCACTAAGAGTCTGCTGAGCTTTGCTGAGATCTGTCTCATCACTGGGAATTTATTATTGAAACATCACTTTGAAGGGGTGGATAAAAGAAACACTGAACTGCCCCCTAACCATAACATGCTTGTGACTCTCCCCCTCTGTCCCCTGCAGGTGGGTCTCCATACCCAGGAGTGCAAATGGATGAGGATTTCTGCAGTCGCCTGAAGGAAGGCATGAGGATGAGAGCCCCTGAGTATGCCACTCCTGAAATGTGAGTCATGGCTGCCTCTTCTCCACCCAGCAGGTGCCTCCAAGGCTGCAGAACTGTTGATTTTCAGAATCCCAAATTTGGAAGAGACAAATGGCCCTCTTTTTCTTCAGGGATGCCCATCCTCAGCCTCTATTGGGCTCAGCTGTGTTGGGAGTGTTTTCCTGAAGTGAGACGTGTTGTCCTTGATCCATCCCTACCCAGTCCTCTCCTAATCACTGACATGACTTTTCGAGGCCTCTAGTTGGGAAATGAAGTTCAAAAAGTTCAATTTCTAGGTGTAAATCTGGGCAGAACAAAACATCCAGGTACTGAATGCAAGACCTCAGCTTTGCTCGTCGCAGGGAGCCTAACGAGCTAAGCTACCACCGTGGGCTAGAAGTCTGTTGCCAGATCCTCTACCCACACTAAGGACCCACAAGGGCTTGGTTTGGACTGCAGAGGAAGAGTGTGTGTGTGTGTGTGTGTGTGTGTGTGTGTGTGTGTGCATGTGCATGTGGGCAGGGGGTGGCGGGAGCAGAGGAACTTCTTGCCTGGAGACGTGATTGCACTCCACAGAGGCTACGTGGGCAATCTGGTTTCTTTAAAATCCTTTAGGACAAGGCCCAGCAGCTGTCTAGAGCACCTGACTTGCTTGTGGAGGTGCCTTCCTGCCGTGCTCTCTGGTGGCTTTAGGAAGATGACAGGCTCCGTGCAAAGGCTTCTCCATTGTAGACTGCTCTTACTCGCCTCTCCTGGGTACTCTTTTCCTGTGACTTTGTGCATGCTTTGCACTTTGAGGACTGAGCAGGAAAGTGATGACACTTGCAGTTTATCCAGCTGCTGACAAGGACTTGGGCCTCCCTGAGGTGGCGCCACCTTTCCTGAATGGGCAGGCAGCCCCCCCATCCCACGCACACAATGGGGCCTGTCAGAGCACTGGGATGGCCTTTGTGGAAGAGTCAGGGGGCAGTGAAGGAAGTGTGGGCCTGGCCAAAGGGCAAGGTTGCTGTCTCCTTCCTTCATCATCTCAGGACAAAGCTAAGTCAGATGCAGGAATGGGGAGCTTGATGAGGGAAAGAGGAGTCAGGCATGAAGGCAGGGCTGGGGACAGCCTGAGTGCAGGGAGGACACAGAGGGTTTTTTTGTCAGTGTTGCACGGTGTCCTCTTCAGGACACCAGGCAAAGCCTCTTCCTGAGAGCCCGGGCCAGAGCCAGATCAGCCCTCAGACTCCATCTGCACAGTAGAGTGCACAGGCTTTAGAGTTTGTGCCCTCTGGTGAGAGGGCAGCACCAGAAGATCTGATTTACAATAAGTCACTTTGCACCCCAGGATCTTGAGCAGGCAGGGTGGGTACAATAATCTGAACTTGACTAGTATCAGACTCGTAAGTGAAGCCATGTGTCCTCTGCCAGCTAAGTGGCAGAGGAGACAGATTTAGCAACCAGTCCCTGGAACTGATCTCCTTGGACCACGGGGCCTGTTAAATTGGGACTATGCCCCGAATTCCCCAGAAGAAATGAATTTCTGACATCCACGTGTGCTCTGAATTAAATATCCTTCTGCTTTCCGTATAATCTGAAAATCAGGAATTCTCAATTACTAACAGTCACAACTACTTGCAGTTATTATTAAATAATAATAACCAAATGGTTATTTGGTGCTTATAAATGTTTTAAACACATAATATGTATTAATTTACCTAGTGATCATAACAGCTCTATAAAGTGGATCCTGTTATGGCTCCATTTTACAGATAAGAAACCCACGGTACCAAACACCCAAATGATTTGTCCACACTGCTGATCAGTTAGCAAACTCCGTCTGAGCTGAGTCCACAACACTAGCCTGCCTACTTTCAGGGACTATTTCCAGTTCTCACCAGGCTCTGGTCCAAATAACTCCAGTGATGCAAAGTCACTGACTTTGGACTAAAGACTTCCCTGGTCTTTCTGAAACCTTAATGTCTTTACCTGAACCTCCCCCAACTATCCCCTGAACCACCCAGACTGTAGACAGAGGTGTAATTCCTCAATTCTGGGAAAAGAGAAGTTTGTTTTAAAAATTTAAGAAAGACACAGCTTTTTAAAATGCTTCCAGATTACCACTGGGTGCCGTGGTTCATCCCTGTAAACCCTGCTACTCGAGAAGCAGAAATCAGAAGGATCATGGTTCCAGGTCAGCCTGAGCAAAAAGTTAGGGAGACCCTATCAAAACCAATGGCTGGGTGTGGTGTATGCTTGTCATCCCAGCTATGCAAGAAGCATAAATAGGATTACAGTCCAGGCCTACCTGGGCATAATCATAAAACCTTATTATTTTTTTTAAAGCAAATGGTCTAGGACATGGCTCAAGTGATAGAGCACCTGCCCCAGTACTGCCAAAATTAAAAAAAAAGAGAAGGCTGGGATTCATGCTATCCACCATCTTCTCACACCATCTTCTCAGGCGTGTGAGGGCTGAGAGCTTCTTGTTTCTTCCAACAGCAGGAAAGTCCGGGTGAAAACATAAGCACCTTCTCAGAACAGGGATTCTGTGGCCTGAACCTGGTCTACAGCAGTGTGCACTTGGGAACTTGGGTGTTGCTGGAAAGGAAACTTTTCCCCCCAGTTTGGGTACAACTGGAGTCTCTTTACTTTACTAAAACCTGCTTATTTAGTGGTGAAACTGTGCAACGCTGAGTAGTCTTTGGTTCCTTGCCCAGAGCCCGTTTAATCAGAGGCTTTTCAGTAAGGGAATAAGCCATGAATGTTTTCCTTTTCCTTTTCCTTTGGTGTTTGCAGAGATCATGCACATTGAATTATAGGCCCTGGGAGTGGAGTCTAGAAATCAGAAGCCTCCAGTGAAGCCAGAAAACAGCAATGGTCACAGGTGGTCCCTGTGGCTGGTTTCTGCAGAAGGACCAGGGAGAGGCCCTTCTATGTAGTTGTGATTCCCAAATAGCTGCTGGTCCACCCCTTTGCAGTGAGATGGTGGTGATGCTGGTGCAAAATGGAACAGGCTCCCTGCTTACTGGGCTGAGGCTGCTTTGTGCTCACTGGGAGCTTTTGGTACAACCTGAAGGCAACACATCTAGCGAGTGGCAAGAGGCAGCTGCTCCCTGGAGTTTCTCAGGCTTTTCCCCCAGCAGCACAGTTCCCAGCTCCACAAGTGATGTCTGCCATGGCTGAAGAATCCACAGAAGAGGCAGAGTTGTCTTTCCTAGAGACTAGTCGGACTTCCTTCACTAGTTAGTTATTGAGTGCTTCTGTGTCAGGACTGTAACGGGTGAGCGGTGTGCAGATGAGGTCCCAGGCCGCAAAGGGTGTACAGGCTGGTTCTAACCTAGTTCTAAAGTTTCAGCCCATTCAGATTTTGATCTGACTCAGAGTCCTTTTTTGTCCAGAATCTTCTAAAAGAAAAGGTAACTTATAATACACCTCCCATAAACAGCACAAAAGACCCAAAAGGAACAAATCCTTAGTTCTGTGTTTTGGAGGGTAGAGTAGGGACAGGTGTCAACTCGGAGCTGACATGACCAAGAGGGGAGCCTGATACATCCACATCAAGGTGTAAGAGAAAAATCACAGAGAAGCCTTTTGACAGTGGAACCCCAGGACAAGATCTGGAGTCTGTGAAATACTAAGACAGATATTTCAAATTCAGAAGCCCAGCCTGTACTTTGCTTTAGTGGTGGGAGGCCAGTTTATAATAAGAAGCTTTGAAATGCTAGGTGAAAAATAACCAGCCACACCCAGGAACCTTGCACACAGCCTGAGGAACTGCCGAAGTCCTCAGTGTGTGGACCTCACCTTCTGGAGATGACATGAGTCGTGGATCCAATAGCCTCCACTGCATGGCCTCATCAGGGACTGTGAGAGACTTGGAAAGCCATGTGCTTACTGAGAAGCCAGCTCAAACCAACTTTTTTTGCAGCCTAAGAGTGAAATGAGTACGCAAACTACCCATTCACGTTCACATTTCTTTTTAACTTTCAAGACGCTGTTGTGCTTTTAAAAGAGAGTGGATGAGGGCTCCACCTCACATCGAATGGCTGAGAGCAGTGAGTTTCCTTCCCAAGTGGCTGTCTGACCTGTAAGCTTAGCCCTTCTTCTCTGCAAAGCCATTGGCACCCAAAGAAGTTGAGTCAGGAGAACTCTGAAGGGGGGTTTCCCACTGCTGTTAGGACCTGGCCCAAACAGACCCTTACATGCTAGTCCTAGACCCCAAACCTAAAAATGAATCATGTCACGTTTATCAAAAGCATGATCTGCATTGGAAGCTGACACCCCTCACTTTGCGACGTGCAGGGTGATTTGTGGAAATGTCACTGCTCTCCAGCTTTCTCTGTGTGCTCTTGCCCAACAGCTATCAGATTATGTTGGACTGTTGGCACAAAGACCCTAAAGAAAGGCCACGCTTTGCAGACCTTGTGGAGAAACTAGGCGATTTGCTTCAAGCCAACGTACAACAGGTAAAACTCGATTCACCTAGCATATTAGAAGGTGAAATGACTATCAGTGTAAGTCAAGGGGGTGTTTGTTGGTTGGTTGTTTTAAGAACTATTCATAGGGGAGAACAGCAATGAAGTGTGTGTGTGTGTGTGTGTGTGTGTGTGCGCACGTGTGCACGCATGCAGAATCACCTTCTCAAAGCACAAACAAGATTGAACAAATGATATAGTTGAAGTTGACGTAATGCTGCATAGAAATTAGTTGAAGTAGAAGTTTGTGCAGTTAGAGATCTATCTTTGGTATTTCAGGATGGTAAAGACTATATCCCACTGAACGCCATACTGACAAGAAACAGTGGGTTCACATACTCAACTCCTGCCTTCTCTGAAGACTTTTTCAAGGACAGTATTTCAGCTCCGAAGTTTCATTCAGGAAGCTCTGATGATGTCAGGTAAGATTTCTTTCCTAAACTTTGTTACAGAATTTTCAAACATAAAAACTATTAGTTCATCCTGTGAGCCTTTTAGCATCTTTATCTGCAGTAGACACAGCCCTGGGGCTTTGACCTCAGCTCTACAACCAGGGAAGGCCTGGAAGATAGTTGGAACAGTCAGAATACATTGAGAGGCTTCCAAGAAATCCAGCACTGTGATGGATCATAGGCCAGTGAATGCTGTTCACTGTTCCTACCTCACAGGCAGCCCAAAAGGCTGAAGGAAATGAGTCATCCATGTTTTTAAAGATGAGAAATGAACTTGGAGTAAATACCTTAGCAAGGTGTGATTGGGTAAGAGCTTGGTGAGGGTGAGCTGTCAAAGTAATTTGCTTAGCAGCAGGCCAAGTAGAGGGCTTTCCTAAGAAGTTGGGCCTTGCAGAAGGTGACACACTCTCAGACTGAGGAATTCAATCAATGCGTAGGGAGAACTTTCCTGCGAGTGACTATGCGGTGGATATCCTTGATGGTCTTTCCTAACAGGTCATCGAAAATAGAAAGGTAGAAAATAGAGAAATCATGCAACTACCACTCATTTCTCCCAGTCTGTAGTCACAGGACAGAACATACAAGAATGGCCTTCACGCTCAATTGTGTGATTAAATTGGCTGTGTAGCCTTGACAGTTTGTTTTATTTATCACCCCACATCCTTTTAGGAAGTAGGCAGCTATAAGTGATAAGATAAAGTCATATCACTTCCCAGGCGTCATTTCTCTCAGTTGTACTATAAGGCACTGAGGCCAGATGAAATATCTCCTCTTGGCCTGACAGTTTTCTGATTCCACAACCTTGTGGGGTTTTGCTGTAAACTATGGAACATGAATTGACAACCAAAGATGGAAGTGGCCTTGCCATGAGGATTCCTAGGAGACACAACAGGAAATTTGAGCCACAGGAGTTAGACAATTGGTATTTTGGTTATCTTAGCTAGGATGTATGTGGAGTCCATGATCTCCTTATAATCAAAAGTGCATCCATTTCCTGTCTTAATTATTATTCCTGCTTCTCCATTAGATACGTGAATGCCTTCAAATTCATGAGCCTGGAAAGGATCAAAACCTTTGAAGAACTTTCACCAAATGCCACTTCCATGTTTGATGTAAGTCATGACACTAAGCCACTCAGTGCACCCTGGCACAAGCCTTCACCTGACTCTATCCAAACACCAACTTCAGGAGTCTGGTAGCTCTTGGGTCAATGAGGCCAGTACAAGCAGAGGCTGAAGTGAAAATGTCAGAGGGATTGACAGACAACTAGACTTAGCTGTGCAGAGCTGATTTGAAAATAGAAGTCCATGTTTTGAAGATGGCCCAGAATTCACTGCAGGCCCATCCCATAGTCTGGAAAGAATTCAGTCTCTTAGGAAACCTCATTGTGTGTTCCTCAGCGTGAGGATCATCCTTACTTCCAGAACAGAGGAATTCCTAGACATGTGATTGGCTGGTCCTTGTGATGATGATATAACAGAAGCCTTATGATGTAGCAGCCTTGAGTCCAGAAGACCACCTAGGTCGTAGGCCTCTTCCCCTAAGGTTTTGCAGACTGATGAGCCATGTTCCTACCCAGCACACTGGAAGAAGCAAACTGGGACAGCCTGGCAAACAAAAGGCTCTACTGGATCTTGTGTTTGAAGCCCTGGAATGGGGTTGAGAGTATAAGGGGAGGAGAGGAAGGCTGAGCAGCAGAGCACTTCTGGTGTGGCAGACCCTTATGCTCAAAGTAGAATCTCCAGACAAGCACTGTGCCATGACCCTAGAGCTGGCCAAAAACTCCAGCTCTCAGGACCCACCCAGAGCCACCTAGGTGGACACCACCTTGTCACAGATCCCCAGGGATGGATTCCTGGACACATTGAAATTGAGACGTGCTAATGATAACCATGTCCCACAAAGGGCATGGAAGACCATCTCCAGTGTGAAGGTGTCATCAGTGGCTCTGAGACAAGCACAGTCACCCTTAACAAGCACCAGAACCTTGCCAGGCACACCAGATAAAAGGACAAGGTGTCTTTGAAGATATACAAACACTTAAATTTTAAGCTATAGGTAAATGTTGTTGCTTGGTACATTGGTTCAAGTCCAAGGAAATAATACTGAGCCAAGCACGGCACTTCTCAACCTTAACACTAACTCTAATTGTGGCAAATTATAACAAGTTTCCTTGTTTGCTTAGGTGTTTGTTTACTGACTGAGTGAACACAGTACAGTGAGAGCCTCAGAGAGGCAGGGACAAAGTGTGAAATTTACTTAGAACATACATTATTGACAGCAATGAAGAGTGGCTAGAACTCAGTGCTAAAGACGACTCAAAGAGGAATTGCTAGAAACTATGACCAAGGACGATTTGAAAATTCCATACAGTGTTCTAGAAAAAAAAAATTAAACAATGTCCTTATAATTTCCTAGAATTTTTACATGTTATGGATACCAAATAACAACATGCCCTTAACCAACTGTCAACTGCCAAGATTAATTTTATTAGGTCTAGGAAATCCTTTAAATATGGAAAGTGGTGACCTTATTACTGTAGTTTTCCTGCTTCTTTATTTATTCACTTACAGGAAGACAGGCCTCGAAGTCACCAAGACTAGGCATTACTTGTAACCGAGTTTGTACTTGCCAACATGGAGAAAATGTTTCCTGTCAATAGGCAGGGACCATGGCGTGTGAGGGCAGTGCCCAGTGTGACCTCAGGGATACATTCCAAAACGGTCCTCAGACTTAGTGTGGACCCCTCTGGGCCAGGCAATTATGTAACCTTCCTCCTCCTTCCCTGCCAGGATTATCAGTTGGACAGTAGCAGTCTGCTGGCTTCCCCCTTGCTGAAGCGCTTCACCTGGACGGAGAGCAAGCCCAAGGCCTCGCTAAAGATTGAGTAAGGAAGCTGGGTATCTTTCCTCTGATCGTTGGTGGGGGGGTGTGAAGGAAGATGCAGGGAAGTTGGCTTAATGGGGGGACTGAGGGCTACTTGCCATCCTGAACTATAGGATCCAGACATTGCACAAAAGCATTTCCCCTCAGAGGGCAAGAAAGGGGGATATAAAATTAACAAATGTGGCCCAGACTCTAGAAGGCTGGTGTTTAAGAGGAGAACACATGCAGAAAATTCCTGCACAGACAGACAGTCAAGAAATGTGAAGCGTGGGGCCTCAGTGGAAAGGAGTCTGATATATCAGCTGTGGAGGACGTGGATGGGGAGACATGCTCAGGGAGTAGGAGACAGTGTTCCCTACTCTGTTCTCTGGATGAGTCACAGGCCTAAGTCATGCCACCCTGAGCACTCAACCCTTCCAAATGAAGGTCTTGCTACCTCCTGTTGATCCTATTACCCATTTCTTGCTTGAGAGTTTCTCCATGAACCCCTGGCTTGATCAGTAAGCCATCTCCTTCTCCATACTGTGGCCATTATGGTCAGAATTACTTGGGATTCTGCTTTGTACTCCACTGATCCTGGATGTTACTTCAGTTCCTCTATGCTAGTCTCTATTTAGGAATAGTGCTGGATTGGGAAGGGCTGGGCTTATCAAATGTTCCCTTCTTTCCTGATTCAAATGCTTGCCCCTCTTTCATGTAAATCAAAGGTCACCAGACTTTTTCACAAAGGACCAGATAATAAGCAACTGCCCAACTCTTCTTTCAAAAGAAGCCACAGACAATACAGAAGCCAGTAGGCATGGCTGGGTTCCAACAAACCTTAACAATAACATTGTGATGACTTAAAAAAAGAATTTATTTCCTTATAGTTCTGGTGGCTAGAAGTCCAAAGTCAAGGTGTCTACAGGGACACTTTCCCTTCAGAGGCTCTTGCGGGGAATCATTCCTTGCCTCTTCCAGCTTTTGGTAGCTTTAGGCATTCCTGAACTTGTGGCTTCATCTCTTCTTTGTGTATGGTCATGACTCCCTCTGCCTGCACATGTTTGCATTTGGGGCCCACTCAGATACTTCAGGAAAAGTTCCACCCCTCTAGACCTTGGCTTAATTATAACTTTTGCCATATAAGGTGATATTCTCACGTTCCCAGGATTTGACATGGATATTTAGGGGAAGGGAGGAGAGGGATTGTTTTTTGGTTAACCGTAAGATCTACCTGACCCAAGAGTAGGAGAGGGCTGTCCTTAAGTCTAGGAGTTATTTTCTATCTGATTATGGATTTACATTGATTCACCATACATTCCACCCCAGCCTCTTTCTGCCCAGAATACAAGCTAGCATGAGGAAGCTGGTATGCAGTTTTAGAACAATCTAAATCTAAGTTTTAGGAAATCTGAGCAGACTGAGCTGGGATTCCATAATAGGTGTGGACAAATGGTCCATTAAGAAAGAGTGGATTTTAATGTTTGTTTTTGGGAAGTTCATCTTGTACATTTGATCTCTCTCTCTCTCTCTCTAGCTTGAGAGTAACCAGTAAAAGTAAGGAGTCGGGGCTTTCTGATGTCACCAGGCCCAGCTTCTGCCTTTCCAGCTGTGGCCACATCAGACCTGTGCATGACAACTTGGAGCCAGGAAAGGAGGATTTGTGCTGCTCTCCGCCCCCAGACTACAACTCGGTGGTCTTATACTCCTCCCCACCTGCCTAACACTTGACACAAGCCTTCTTTCTAGAAGCGCACGTGTATCTACACCCCAAAGAACTAGCTTCTGTCAGTATTATACACATATGGGTTTACACCTTTATCTTTCCACAGGAGTCAGCTGCTTTCAATGACTCTTAATAGTGCTTTTTTTTTTTTTTTGACTAACAAGAATGTAACCCCAAATAGAGAAATAGTGACAAGAGCACTGCTTTCAGTTCCCATGTTACTCACTGTGTTAGAGAAACCCCTTCTAAGTCCGATGACTCACCTGCTCCAGCCCCTAAGGACAGGAGGACTCAGGAGATGCACTGGCCAAGCCTGCTGGGGAACCAGAGGAAACAAGCCCTTTAGCTCGATAGATCACATTGGCCTGAGTGTCTCTGGAGTACTCTAGCAGGCATAAGCAGGAGAGAAAGAAAGAGAGAAAGGAGGGAGAAAAGAGAAAAAAGAGAAGGCAGGAGAAAGACTTTGAGATGTGCCATGTGGGGAGGGAACAGGAAAGGGTTCTCTGCAGCACCACCTCCATGGCCTCCAACCCCTACCCAGGAGCAGGCAGGGCAGAAAGGAGGGGATTATTTCCTGGGTTCTGGGATGCAAGAAAAGGACATATGTTTTCCAACAAAAGTAAATCTTACAACTACCTATGAGACTGGTTCTATACCCATTCCCACACGTGATGTTTTGATTTGTAGCACTGAGGTGGCACTCAGCTCTGAGTCACACCGTTGGCTCCTCTAGTGAGATACACTGAGAACCTATCCAGAGCTTGTTGGCCTGAATTTAGCATCATGCAGCTGTGAAGCTAAATGGAACCAGTTTGGTGTGTTAGGGTTGTCTACTGATTCTATTTCAAATATTATTGCATACACAAGACACTTAACTTTCTGTATTATCCTATTTGTACAGTTAACTATCCAAGGAAGCTTGGGAGAATGAGAATGTGGTCTTGTAAAGGGTTTTTCCTATACCCAAACTAGAATTGATGGACTAAAACCCAATGAGGCAGAGTGGAAATTCTATCTATACTAGCCAAAGCAACTCACTGAAGGGGTTGGAACCTGAAGCAGAGGCAATCAGTTGTGTTTCCTTTTTATTTAATGAGAATTCCATAGTCAATCTGGAAGGATGTGGAAAAGCATTAACTAATGTTTATTAAGCACTTTATGCTCCTCAAGAAAAGACAGTGATATATGTACTTTAGGCAAGATACTTCTACAGATGGGACTCAGGATGCTAGTTAATGAGCCATCAAAAGGACAAAAGCCTATTTTTATCTGCTTTGGAGCTTACCTTGAGTCTGAGGATGATGGGAATAGGAAGACAGGGTAGAAAATGGTGGCTACTCTTCAGGGTCGAGAGATTGGTGGGCTGGATCTCTACACTGGCTCTGTTGGATGCATGTTGTGATATATGTGTCTGGGGTACATGCACCTGCTGAAGCCCATCACAGGCTGGCAGACAGCAGTGAATCACTGCTTCCTGTTATGCACGTCACTTAGCTCTAGAACCTGAACTCTTGTGTACTAGATCAATGTATGCCTCCTTCCTTATGTGCCACACTCTTGCATAATGTTCTTTATATGAACAGATGGGAGAGTCAGCACATTCCCCAGTGACTCAGTGGGTACCCCATGGTGGCTCTCAGGGGCTCACGAGCCAGAAGAATGAGGCACACCTCTCCACCAGGAACTAAATCCAAACAGAATTAGGTAGGGCCAGAAGTGGGGGAAACTTTGTTCTTCCTCTTCTTTCCACACATGAAAGCTGTGACAGCTGGCAGTAGTGTAAACTAGAACTAGATAGAGGTTAAACAGAATGTTGGAGAGCCCAATCCTCTACTTTGAGATCAGATAAGAATCCAGCAATTAGTGATAAAAGGAAAACCTTAGCTATTCCTATGATACCTTGATTTTAACAACCTAATTCTTAATCATTCAGAAATAAATACCCCTTTCCCAAAAGAGAAATGAAAAGCTGTTAGGATATTGTTACTCAAGGATTTGGCACCTACATGAGTCCATCAGCCAAAAAGTGGTTCCATCTGAGATTTAATGGAGACAGAAAAATGGAAGCTTGTAATAATGAGTAGATCTGATCATGAAGTGCTTGTTCATCAACTTTTCAGCACTGAAAATTAAAACTAATTATCACACAGTAATATTAAACCCATTTGCCATTTATGACGAAAATGGTTGCCACTGTAATAAAGAGCAGTACTTCCTCCTAGGGTTTGAGATAAGCTGTGTGTGGATGGAGAGGGACTGAAACCTTATGCAAGTCTGTGTCTAGTTAGCCAAAGAAATGATGTGAAGACATTAGTTTTAGCCAGAGGACAAACTTGTCCAAAACCTAAAAACTGTTGCTTGGGTCTTTGAGCTATGCCTTGTTTCCCAGCCCATAAGGATGTCAAGCATGAAGCAGTTATTCGCCAGATACATTTAAATTGATTAAAGGAGGAGGGCATCTTTGAATGGCAGTGGTAGTAACTATATGTGTATGTCTGTGTGTGTTTGTGTGTTTTGTGCATAACTATTTAAGGAAACTGGAATTTTAGTTACTTTTATAAAAATCAAGAATATATGCTACAGATGTAAGAAAGATATGATCTGGTTCTACCTTTCTAGTTATGATGAATGTATTTTGTATACTATCTTCATATAATAAAATTAACTTCCAAAATATCCCACTTCCTGCTTTCCTTATAAATGAAAAAAGTGGTCATAGGTGTCCTTGGGAGACAGAGAGGACTGGGAGATTTCATTAATTAAGCACAGCACAAGAAAGATAAAGCAAACACTACTAAAGAGAGGGTGCAGAACTTTCCATCAGTACTACACATGGCTGCTCTAAGCAACTGGGCCACTACAAAATCAAATCAAACTAGGCAGATTGCCCAGAAAGCCAAACACTAAAATGAATCATGAAACTAGTAAGACATACATTAATGACTGCCCACGGCCGGAGAAAGTGCCCTCAATTACAAAGAGGTAGTGTACCCTATACACCAATTTTCAGCTGGTAGACAATGGTCACAGGCTGGCGGAGTGCTCAAGTGGTAAGGCACCTGCCTAGGAAGTGCAAAGACTTGAGTTCAAACCCCAGTACCACCTTCCCCCAGATGTGTATATGTACACATGTGGACAAGTGTGGGAAATCAAACAAAATAATAGGAAAAAGCATAAAACACAAGCACTTCCCTATGAAAAGTGTTCAGCTAAGGAATCTTCCATTTGGTTTTGAGGATTACATCCATCAAAGAAACAACCCAGGTGATAACCTCCAGACACAGAGTAAGTAACCAACACCTTATTTCAGAAAGTGGCCATACTATTACTAACTTGCCTGATGATTGGAAGCTAGATTGGAGAAACATGAGAAAAAATAGACCTCCATTCTTAGGGACAATGGCAAAAAAAAAGGATAAATGCCTAATCTCAGTAAATCTGTAGTTAACTGAAAACAGCAATAGGCATTTTACCTTCAAGATTCTGAAACCCTCTTAAAGTACTGGTTTTCATAAGAAGAGTAAAGTTACTCATTTGGGCAAATGAGTTGAAGAATGCTTCAGTAACCAGCATCTTGTCATAGTTTAAAATTTTTCTCATGACTCTGGGAACTTAACAGTACATTTGGGAATTTTTTTTCTTTTTTTCAGCAGAAGGATGGCCTAGTAAGGTTTATTTGACTCTTCAGTGTTAAACACATTACCAGATTTGGGGGATTCACAAGCCAGGAAATGTTTAAAACTATCCTGGGTCCCAACACAGGGATGGTCACCTTTCTATTTTGTGAACTAAGGACACTTAAGGAAAAAAAAAGAAAAAAAACTCCAAAAAATCCAACTAGATGCTAGTGTTCTATTTCTTGGTGTGTACTGTGTTATAATTCCCTGTGCTATATACTTATTTGTGAACTTTTACATACATGCATGTATGTGGGTATGTATTCTATTCTTCAAGAAATTAGAAAAAAAACAAAACCCTACCACATACGACCATAACTTTTCATGGAAAAGTCCTTTTATTTATTTTTTTCTTTTATTATTCATATGTGCATACAAGGCTTGGGTCATTTCTCCCCCCTGCCTCCACCCCCTCCCTAACAACCCACCCCGCCCCCTCCCTCTCCCCCCCCACCCCCTCAATACCCAGCAGAAACTATTTTGCCCTTCTCTCTAATTTTGTTGTAGAGAGAGTATAAGCAACAATAGGAAGGAACAAGGGTTTTTGCTGGTTGAGATAAGGATAGCTATACAGGGAGTTGATTCACATTGATTTCCTGTGCGTGTGTGTTACCTTCTAGGTTAATTCTTTTTGATCTAACCTTTTCTCTAGGTCCTGGTCCCCTTTTCCTATTGGCCTCAGTTGCTTGAAAAGTCCATTTTAAAAGGAAGGAGCTGGGGATGTAGTTCAATGGCAGAGCACTTGCTGAGCACGTGCAAGGCCCTGGCTCCAACTCAAGCACTGCCAAATAATAATGATAATACATAAAAATAAAGAGGAAGAAGGGCTTGATCATAGACTAGAATAGATTAACTTCACATCTGAAATATACCTAGATACGTGCTCAACTTATGCTGAGGTTACATCCAGGTAAATCCATTGTAAATTGAAATTATCTTAAGTTGGAAGCATATTTAATTCACCTAACCTACCACACATCCTGGCTTAGTAGCATGCAGAGTGTAGAAGGTCAGTTGTTTCCCCTTGTGGTTGTAGGACTGTCAGGGCTGTGGTCATGACTGCCTCCCAGCATCTCAGAGAATACTGGACCACATAATGGTAATTCAGGAAAGGATCAAAATTTAAGTCTCAAGTAGTTTCTACTAAACATGTATTGCTTTTTATCATAAAGTTGAAAAGTTGTAAGTCAAAACATCACTAAGTCACAAACTGTCTATAGTATATCTTTTTTTTTCCATTTTAATTTGTACTAGAAAACAGTTCTAATGAACAAATGCTATTCCACACATTGGGATTTGGGAACCAGGGACAGCTAGTAACTGCTATCATTTGTGTTTAACATACATCAGCAATTATTCTAAGTGCTTTGGAGGAATAAACTTAATTTCCAAAGCAATTTAATGTGACAGGTACTCTTAGTACACCGTTTGCTTCAGTGGGAAAATTAATGAAAACAATTCCAGCAGCACCTATTCTCATACACTCTGCCGTCCCTTCTGAATAGCCTACCCAAAGCACCTGGCTGTGCTTCCCTCCAGCCACTCACCACCCTCTCACTCCTTTCAATTCCTCTCCCCCTGCACCATACAAATACACAGTTTTACTATCTTACAAGGAAAGCTTCCCCCCTAGTCTCTCTTCCACCCACCTTTTCATTTCTCCATTCCCTTTTATAGCAAAACCCTTTGAGCAGGTTGGTTGTCCCCTCTCTTTTGAACTCACTCAAACTAGCAATGGAACAGGACAAGTGTGCTCACACTCATAATCACAGTTTTGGATAAGCTGATAACCGTCTCAGCCCCAGTCAGATTTGACGCATCAGCAGCTTGACCCTTATTCCTGAAAATGCTTGCTTCACTTTGATTCCAGAACATGACACTTGCTCTTCCTGTCTCACTGGCCACTTCTGCCTCAGGTCAATTTGAACTCTTCTCTGACCTTTGAACACTGCACCAAGTAGCCTTAGGCTCAGCCCTAGGAGTTTTTTCTTCTCAGTCTGTACTAACTCCTGGCATTACCTCAACCAAACTTAGGGCTTTAAATGACATCCATATTTTAATGACTTCCATTTACAGACCAGACCATAAACTCTAAACCCACATATCCACAAGTGTTAAACTGACATTTCCTCCCAATGCTCTGGCAGACTGTTTTCCAAAGACTGCCGTCCCCAAGTATCTCCTGTCTTACCTGATCTTTGGCAATGCTGCTTCTCCCTAGTCCCATCAAGTCCTCTTCCCCTGGCATTGTGACTCACTTGTAACTAACAGAATGTGGCAGAAGGTGACACTGTGTGACTTGGAGGCCAGTTCAGAAAATAATCACACTTTCCACCTACCTCTTGGTAGGTACACTCTCCAAAGGTCATTGGGTCCATGCCATGCTTGAAGCCCAAAGGACACAGCAACACCAGACACAGGTGTCCTTGGAGCCAAGTCATCAGCCAGGTTCCAGCCATTAGAATTTTCTCAGCTGAGACCCCCAAAACAAGCTGAAGTAAGTGAGCCATCCCGGCTATGCCTTGTCCAAATTTCTGACCCGCAGAATCCACGGCAGAATAAGATGCTTGTTTTATGCCATTAAGTTTGGATTTGTTACAAACCAAAAATAACCACACAGAGATATCAAAACCCATGATGTTCAAGTCCCTTAAAAGTGTCAGGTCATCTCCAGATGACTTATAAACACCTAATACAATGTAAGTGCTACAGAAATAATTGTTATACTATATTGTTTGGGGAATGGTGACAAGAAAAAAAAAATCTGTATGTACTCAGAAGATGCAACTTTTCCCCTAATACTTTCAATGAGGTTGTATAACCCCCAGATATGGAAAGCATGGATAACAAGGGCTAACTGTATTTGTCTTTTTGCTGCTAGAATGGAAGCTCTTCAAAGCAGAAAACTATCTGCTGCGATCACAGCTTTTCCCTTGGTCCCCAGAACTATGCCTGATTAATAAGTCAATGAGTATTTAATGAATGAGTGAATCCCAATTTATATTTAACTGAGGCCCTGAAGGGATGAGCAACTTAGTTAGATCACAGGACTCTACATGGCAAAGCCAGTATTTATAGTCAGGTCTTCTTGTTTCACCCAGCTGGCTTCTTAACCACCATGCATGTTGTCAGTTAAGTTTTAAAGACAAGGGTTTAAAAACAGTCTTTCCTCCCCCTCCCTCTGCACTTGCTAAAAGTGGAAGAGCAATCCACTGCTTCAGAGGACAGGAGATAGAAATGATAAAGCTATATAGTTCCATTTCTCAGAATGTAGTGAATGAAATATTGGCCTGGCTTTAACAGTATTTTTCATATTTTGTTTTAAGAAATTTAAAGCTAAAATTCTCCAAACACACCCTCTATACTAGGCAGGTTAGGTCATCCCCCCTGCCCCCCTTCCCCCCAACTGCTAACAGCCATTCTGATTTTCCTCCAAATCCATGGATGCCTTTCAGTCATGGATACCTGTACTGCTCTCCTTTTCTGAAAGCCATTCACCAGTCCTTAGGCTGGCAACAACCCCTTCCCTCTCTTTACTCTAGCGACCCTTTACCTCAAACCCCTTACCTCTTTTCATCCTGCACTGCATTTCCTCCAACTTTTCAAATGTACACAAATTTCAAATGTATTTTGGGAAAAAAGTCATGATAAGAACTCACTATACAACAAATGTTAGTATTTTGCCATCATTTCATTTTTTCTTCAATTAACTTTTTATTAGGATATATTTGTTGTATGGGGGGATTCACTGTGACAATTCCAAATAGGCTTATATTGTACATTGGTTAGATCACCCCCACCATCTCTCCCCCTTGGCCCTCTCCCCACCCCACTTAAAACTATTGCAAGAGGTTTCTTTGTTCTATTTCATATATGTATATGAAGCCCATCGACCATATTCCCTCACTTTAATCTTCATTCATCCTCCCCTCTCCCTTAACTACTCCCCCACAAACTGTACCTTTTTTACAGTCCTGTCTCGTTGTTAATATCTAAATCAATGTTCAAAGGGGCTTCTCAATGTATCCCCACTGTAAGCATACTTTACTTTGCTCTGTTCAACTCCCATCCCCTTGCCAAAATTTCTTACCCTTATAGTCTGTATAATGTTTCTGGAGAAATTGGAGGAGAGAAGTGTCTCTCATCTACATGGCAAATTAAGTACTGATTGATTCAAACACAAGCTATAGGTCTGGGGTTCAATGATAGAGCACGTGTCTATCAGGTGTGAGCCCTGGGTTCTATCCCCAGCACTGTGAAACAAAACAACCAACAATAAAAAATGGACTAGCCTCATCTTATTCCCTATCCTTTCACATAAGTGGTCTCTCTTTGACTACACTGTAAGCCTTGTATTATATGAATATGTTTGAGTACACATTACACATTTTGTAAATACCAAGTCTCCTATATAGCCTAGAACAGATCCAAGGATACGTAAGTAGACATTTAACAAATATCTGATAAATTAATGTACAAATCTGCTACAATTTCATCTAAAGACAATTTTTTTCTTAAAATACATAGGTAATATACAACTTTCAAAACCGTAATCATGACAAATATAAAAATTGTTATATTCACTGGTACCAAAAAACAAAATGACAATTTTACCTCTGTAATTCTTTATTAAAAATACTGCTGTACACAAAGAGACTGAAAACAGGATTAAAGATGAGTAACACATATTGGGATCATGACATTAGAACTTAACATACTGGTGCTTTTTAGGGAAGTTGTTGACATCCAAATCACAGAACCAAGGTCAAAAGCAAAGTACCAGGATACCCTCAAAAATATTTACATTGAAGTAAACACACTAACAGAATTTAAAATAGGTACAAAAAATTGAAAATGACCAATGTTACATGATTTCAAAGGTTGTCCTTTCTGTGCTTTTATCTGTCATAACAGGAAGGTATGAGAAGTTTATATCCTTAATTTGACAATTCTCAGATATTAAAATCTTCCTATGGATTAAAGACTAACTTTCAGACAACCTCTTAAGTGGAATTACAATATAGAAAAGAGGGTTTCCCAAAAAAACACCTAAGCAGAACTGAGAATTCTTTTGAAAACCATTCCCAATAAAAACTAAATGAAAAATAAATACAAAACAAAGCTAAAAAAAATATGCATTACCTGACGCCAACTGTTTTCTGGCTGACAAATATTTACTCATGAAAACATATCAGCTGTCTACCTTTTATATTCAAACCAAGTCCTGAGGTTAACTAGGGGCTAAAGCAAACTAGCGTTTATGGTGCAGACATTCTTGGGTTAGCGATGTGAACCTGCCTTGCAGAGGGAAGTTTGCTGGTCTACACAGAGTGAAAGATTCAAGCCCTATTTTACCCCTGCCCTTCCTTAGCTTTCACAAAACATTGGTCCACAAATTAAAAATTTCAAAAAGTTCCTAGACCCCAAAACTAAAATAGATGATCCCCTTTCATTTTCAAAGAAAACAATATTGGAAAAAATCTCCTGCCCGCTTATAAATTAAGCATTTCATATTTCTTCTAGAATACAAGTAGTTCTTTTTTGTACAAAAGAATTACAATATGATTTGTCAAAAAACATATAAAAAGACAGCTGCTCTTCCTCAAATACATGAGCTAATGATAAAAGACTTTTGCATGTTAATGTCTCCAAGTTCTTGTTCCTTTTACATAAAAAAGAACATTATGGTGGCAAATGTTAATTATTCTTTGAATATTGAACATATGTTCTTTAAAAATCCATCCAGATCAAATGCAGTAATTGATTTTCTTATTAACTCAACAACTGATGTTACCAAATGTGGACTCAAATACACTTGTTAAAACGTGTAAAGCGTGTCTCTAGTCTTCAAAGCTTTCAGGTGATGAGAGGTGCTTTTTCTTGATGCAAATCTCAAGGCAGAGAAAAATCATTTTAAAGCTTATAAAAAGTGAACAGAGAATACTAAAAAATTCTCTGAAATATCAAATGTGTGTAACTGTTAAAATTGAAGACAGTAACATCAGCTGCAAGTGCTTGGGAGTCTGTCCTGACCTTCTGAGTTTCCACATTTTCTTCACGGTCACATGGCGAGCACCCAGTGCTAGTAAAACATTCAGTGCTGGGAAAGGATAAAGTCTTCATCACCGTTTTTTAAGAAAGAAAATTCCTATGTATTTGGCAGTCTTCAGTATCAAAGTATAGGTATTTCACTAACTAAAAATTTGATGAATATCCAAGTTTGGCGACAACTGCATGTCCAAATAGTAAGAAAGTTACGAGGACGAAAATTCCAAACTTTGAGATGGACTTGTTTGGAAGATCCTGCAGAGTGAGTTATTATGAAAAGTACTATTACTTTGGGCTAAGCAGTGACTGCAAAGGCACAGCAGATCATTCTCTCTCCAGATTCAGGCTGTAAAATGTCAGAAAGCTCTTGATGCCAGACCACTGCTGTGTTTAGTTCACCTTTTGAACAGTGTCTCTGTGTCTGTATCCAGTGTAAAGTACCATTATAAAGCTGTGGTTCAAAGAACAGAACTTTATACAAAAAAAGCAGACTGGAAATAACCTAAAGCAAATATACTCCTGAACTTTAGGCCTTTAACACAATTTCTTCATTTTTTTTCCTATTAAAAATTGCATAAATGTAAATGTATCTTGACGAGCAGGCAAATGCCTTTAAAAAAAAAAAGACTGGGTGAATTTGGAGCAAGAGCTATATATGCTCCTTTAGTTACTATTTATCCAATCGTTATTCAGAAAGGATGTCAACCAACTAATAGGGGAATTCATATCCAAAAATTCACTGATCTTTCCCTTTTTGTGTTCTTCAAAACAAAACAAAACTCTCAATTTGAACTAACAGTGGGCGGCATACAGAGCTTGCACACAACACTCTTGTAAGAACTATGCACTACGCCACATGTCTATGAATTAGTTACCTGGTCCATTACGTCATTTAGGCAACCCATCCCTAAAAGAGCAAATTCTGCATTGCTCAGAGGCACAGGGCTGCCCAGTATTGTTTCCCAAAAATGTCCTTGCGAATAGTTTCCCTTAATAAGTATACAATGTGGCAAAAGTTCAAGATCAGAAAAAAGTCTTTAAAAATTAAAACTAGTGCATACACAAGTGGAAAAAAACAAAGCAGGAACATCATTCACCTCATGGTGCTCCTTAATCTGAAATAAATTCTTCACAGACAGAGCCTCCAAATGGCAGCCAGAGCTCTTGGATAAATGAGACATTCTTCCTTTCAAGTAACAGTGCACCTGACCCAAGTGCAAGCAGCTTTGCTCCTCCCCTGCTTGTTTCCCCATGTGAAAGGAGATGAAAGAGAACAGTCCAGCTGTAGTGCAATTTGCTGTTTTTTAAGTTCCTCGGCCATGTCCTGTGGACCCTTTTAGCAAATACTACAACTGACCATTTGCAGCTGCAATCAGTTCTTGAAAAGTATTTTCGAAGCAGCGCTTTAAGTCACTGTATGTTACCACAAGCACACTCTTCTCGTCTCTGGAAATCAGGCTTATTTTTTCTGGAACACCAGCATCTAGCTGAAACAGACAGATATATAAAATATGAAGATCATCCCATGCAGAAGATAATCTACTTTATTTTAGGATGACATTTGCAACAAGGATTACTGAAATATTTTAAAATTTTCTGTCATTCCCTTTCAGATACTTATACATTTTTATATCACTAGTTAGTACGCACTAGTAATTTTCAGCTCAGATGTTTTACAAACATGTACTACCTATCCCTCACAGTCAACATCTGTTTGTACTATAATACTCTATCAAACTGGTACTCTGTAATTTATGTATTCCCCCATCACATTTCATTTTTTTGTATGTGAATTACAATGCAAAGGACAAATTTATCTGCTAAATGTTTTTGTTTTTTTTTTTTTTTTTCTGTAAGAAATTACTAAGTTTCCTCCACAGAAAAAACACTTAAAATATAAATAATAAAATGTTAGTACCACACTGTTTTCCAAAGGATACCAATTAGATATCATTGACAACCGCAGATAACAATTTACCAGTAGCCCCATATCAAACAAGTGTATTTGTATTCTGACATTTTAACTTAAAATATTACTATTAAAGTTTTTCCATGCACTTATTTTTGCTGTTTCCTCTCATGCAAACTCCAGTTTATGATCTTTACCCACTCTATGTATCAGGATTTGGCAGTAGGATTTTGTGAGGTATCTATAAGGCATAAACAATAATCCTTTGGACATCAAAGAACTTTCTTTGTTATAATTTCCACTTAAAATAGTATATTTCCAACTTAAAACAATACATTTTCCCTGAAGGGCTACTGTACAGTGCATTAATAGTTCTAAATTCCATGCTATGTGTAGTCAGTATTTTCTCCTCTAGTATTTGTGTATTTGTAATTTAGAGACAGTGTAGGCCAAGAGCCTGTAAGTATTTTCTATAAAGGCCAGATATGTTTAAGGGTTTTGAAGATGACATACAGTCTCTGTCATGTAGTCTGATTTTTTCTCTTTTCCCCCTCCCAACCTTTGAAGTGCAAGATTTCTTAGCTTGCAGGCTATAAAAAGATAGGTTATGAAGTGGATCTTGCCAACCCCTGACTTACACATAAGCCTGTACAGGATTTACTTGTGAAGATGAATTTAAATTCTAACTCCAAGTAATTCACAAGGAACATGCTCTTCCTTTAGTCTACAAATTATAAATGAATTTATGATATGTCTCTAATTCATCTAATCACCTAGTTCACCACTTAAAGCAGCAGTGCCTACTGATGTTACCAGTTTTGTGTATTATTATAATATCTATAGTTAACAATAAACGAATTAATAACACTCAATCCAACTCACAATGACAGAACAAAAGGATTCAACCTTTAAAAAGTATTTAAAAAACAAAATGATTTTTCAGTTTTTTCCTACTCACTATTTTGTTTGGTATAACACATTTACATTTAAATAAAATAGTACAAAAAGTGGAGAATCATTTATTTTATAATAAAAACATCCACAATAAAAAAATTCTGGAACTATTCATGCAGATGTTAAAAAAAAAACAAAAAAAAACTTGAGTTCTAAGTTTTAGGAAGCACTGAGATCTTAAAAACTCAGATATAAATTACCTTGTTAAGACAAGAAATGATATGACTGAGGTCAATCCAAGGAGCACCCGCTTCTGTCACCTGATGAAAAAGATGATCCCTAAAGAGTTTCAACAGATATCGGTCTCCAGTCTCTGACCAAGTAGGATCCTTCTGAAACCTGGAGGATTAACATTCTACCTCAGTAACTCATGCTGTGTGCTACATGGCCTATTTTTATCTTTCAGATTCAAGAGTAGTTTAATTTTTTCCCAATAAATAAGAAATTAGAGGGGTTGTGAGCAGTGTTTAAAAAAAAATAATCTCTCTCAACACAGAAATACATGAATTCCAGTTTCAGTTCTTAGGAGCATTTACTCCTTGCACATTACTTTCTCTCCTTAACTTCAAGTCTTACCAGTAGATAAAATGGGGAAGGCAGAAAAAAATGTCTTTAGATTTCTTTAGTCTGAGTTTATAAGAGACTATTCTTTTTCTCCTTCCATCCTATAGGTTACAGAGTACAGAGATGGTCAGATAATTTTTCCACTTCACCAATGAGCTTAAAACAGAAAAATGTTTACAAAACATTAACAAAAAAAGATACATTCTGGTTTTCTACCATCTCATCTGAGAGCTACGAAGAACTGGATAACCACATGACCACTTTTAGTTTTCAGTGACCTTAGGAACGTAAGTCTACTGAAAAACAGATGTTATTTAATAATCAAAGAAAGTGGTAATTGCACATTTATATAAAATACTATGAAAAGAAAGGGATGTAATATAGAACAGAAGCTAAGTTCATCTGTGAGGGCAAGCAAGATTTTCTAGAGGAATTAGTGGCTGCTCTTCACAGAGGATGGATGCTCCTTAGTCAAGAGGGACTGGCATGTGCAAAGGACAGCATGGAGCACTGAGGAAATTTAAGAAAGGTCAGTGTGTCCAGAGCAAAGAAAAGGTGAGAATACAAAAGGGAAGGTGAGAGGACAAGGAAGAGGGAAGAGTCAGAGAGAAGAAAAGGACAGCGTATGGAATGAGGACAAAGTATGGAATGACAGAAGGAAGAGGAAGGACAGGAGGAGAAAATTTAAGGGTGGGGGTGGGGAGAGGGAGATCTGTAGCAAGGATGAGAAATAGGTAAGGACCATACTATGTAGCCTTAGGTCATGTTTAAAAACTGAATTCTAGTCCCAGAACCAGAGAAGCCCACCACATGGCTTTAACATAATCATACAGGTTTTTGCAAAGATCATTCTGTGAACCCCAAATTAAAATGTAGCTTAAATACATCCATTTATCTCTGGCTACCTTTCAAAAGCCCACCAAACTGACAGTTTTGTGTCTACAAAAGCGTACAAACACAAGGACAAAGGGGTTAGAAGCAGCAGCAATAGTAATAAAAGTGAAAATAGGAAAATGCAGAGCAGATGGAGTAAGTGGTATGACCGAGCAGACCCCATAAAACTGAATTCTAATTGCTACAGGCTTGCAGGAAGCCACATGAATGAGTCCTAGGAGTTGACATCATCAGGGGCTACTGCAGATGCAGACATGGACTGAGCTGAAATCAGCGGAACTGAGGAAGGGTTCTAGAAACAGTAACTAAATCACCCAGCTCTTAGCTCTGCCCCCTCACCCCACTCTGCCAGGCAGAAATCTGAAGGTTTACTTTCTAGATCAGAATCAGAAAAGCTCCAGCCCCAGAGATGCCAACAAAACAGGAGCCAAGGAGCAAGGAGCCAAACAGTGATAGATGGAACATTATTCAACAAATAGCTTCCCCCTGCCTGGTTCCCAACTTGTGGCTGTCAGGCTTATACCACACACAGTAGTTTGGGGGATTCTTTTCCAAAAGAAACAGCATTTTAGATTCTTTTCCAAAAGAAACTAAAAACAAAAATCATACATACAATATTTCACTGTCTACTGACAAAAAGTTCAACATTCTGCATCTTCTAGTCTAATGCAGCTTTTTAGGACCTCATTTTTAATAGCAAAGGATGGCCAAGGTACTGAAATCTTTCAAAGAGAGAATAAAAAGAAAACAAAATACACCTTTTTCCAATGAGATATTGCAGAGAACAGAACAATGTAACCCCCACATCCAGAAAGAAACAAATAAGCAAACAAAAAAATCAACCACCACCCAAAATTTTATAACCAACATTCTCAGATAAATAAGAATTAGACAGTATAAGTCAAACATTCAAAGAATAGAAAAGTTCTTGGAAATTAAAACTATGATAGCAAAAATTTTAAAATTCAGAGAAGAATTTGAAACAACTTTAATTCCAGACCAAAAAAAAAAAAACCAAAAAAACAAAAAGACATAATGCCCAGAACGTAGAAGATAGAGAAAATAGGAAAATTCCAGAAAATCTAAGCAACTGGAATTTGAGAAAATGAAAAGAATTAATGAAGCTCATTTCTTAGAACGAAAGGATATAAATTTCCAAGATTTAAAGGGTCCAACCTAAGCTAGGTACCAGTGGCTCACACTTGTAATCCTAGTTTCTTAGAAAGCAGAGATCAGAAGGATCACAGTTCAAAGACAGCCCAGGCAAACGGTTCATAAGAGGCCCTATCTCAAGGACACCCAACACAAAACAGGACTGGAGGAGTGGCTCAAGTGATAGAGTACCTGCCTAGCGAGCGTGAAGCCCTGAGTTCAAATCTCAATGCCAAAAAAAAAATTATCCACCTACTGATTTATCTTTTGAATCTAAAAACATATATCAAGGTACATTATCATGAGTTTCTAAACCTAACTGGCAAAGAAAAGACCCTAAAAGCTTTGGGGGAAGGGAAGAATTTGGACAGAAAATAGCTTTGAGTCTGTCTGGAAGCTAAAGGCAATGGAACAATACTTCCAATTCTGAACAAAAGTATCATTGTGTTAGCTAACACAGTCTTTTATGAGAAACTGAAAGTATAAAAATTAGAAAGGAAGAAAGGTAACTATTATTATTTACAGATTATAAGACTATGGGAAATCCAAGAAAATCTGAGAAATTATTCAAACAATAAGATATCAGCATACAAAATTACAGAAACCAATTAATTTTCACATACACCAATAATAAGTAGTAAGAAGACAGAATACGAGGAGAAAATTCAAACAAAATACCTAAGAATAAAACTCAGTATGCTTACGTATATAAAGAACTGAACTATTACTGAAGAACACAGAAGTAGACATCAACAGATTAAATTACAAAGAATGATCTTAGTTAAGATAATTCAACAGCTAAACCCACAAATGCTCTGTAAGTTTATTACTACCCATAACATGTTACCTTTCCTACAAAACTAGAATTCAGAGTTACTGTTTTTGAACTAAATAAGCTGATTTGAAATTCATACAGAAGACTAACCAGTTTTAGGAAAACAATGATACAATACACAATGAAACAGAAAATAAAAGAACTAACACCACTGGACTTTAAAACTTCCATCCACTATAGAGTTGCTGCTTCAAACAGCAGGGAAAAACGGTGCTACTTAGTAAAAAGCTAGGTGTCTAGGAAAAAAGCTGGATTCATACCTTATACCCTGTATAATTCCTAAATATATAAAAATCCTAATATGAAAAAAAAAAAAAAACACAAGAGTCCATTAAATAATTCAAGATTTCAGAGTGGAAAGGACCTTTCTAATTATGACCCAAAACCAAGCAGCATAAAAGAAGCTTGATCAGTTAGACTATGTACAAATATTTGCACAGGAAAATAAAGCACAAACAAAAGAAAAATAACAAACTTTTTTTTTTAAAGTATCACAAAGAGTAAATCTCTCTAGCTCCTATACGTCAGTAAGACAAGCAGTCCAACTGAAAATAAAAATGGGCAAAGGATATGAACAGGCAGACAAAGAAATAGAAATGGATCAAATACATAAAAAAGATACTAAAAAAGTCTCCTTAAGAGTGAACTGAAAACAAAGTAGCACTGAAATCCAATTCTCACCTATGAGGATGACAAAAACAGAAAACTTTGAAAAAAAAAAAACAGTATTGGTAAAGCCCGCTCATGAATTCCACAAAATTTTTCTGCCAATGGCTCAGAAATTATACCGATATTCACTAATGAGCAACCACAATTGAGCCTATCATTATTCATACAAAATTAGACAAGTAAAATTTAGTCTCTACAGCACTGTTTGCCCTACCGAAACACTGAAAACATCCTAAATGCTCATCTATAGGTAACCGAAAAAATAAACAATATTTATGTCCATAAAAGTGTGAGGGAAAAATGCCAGAGAGAGAAAGAGCACAGACTCTGGAGTCACACTTCCTAGACTTGAATCCTGACTCATGTATTTACTAATCATGTGACCTTGGACAGGTTACTTATCCTGCCTGTACCCCAATTTCTGTTAAATGGGACTAACAACATTATCTCCATCACAGGTTTTCATGAGAAATCATACTTGTAAACTATTTAGAATCATGCTTGACATACTCTAAAATCTAGACGAAAAGATTTCCAAAATACATTACTATATTGAGAAATAGGCAATACACGGAACATTGGATATAGTTTACAATTTTACTTATTTAAAAAGGGGAGAAAAGAATATATGGTTGTATTTGTAACTCTGAACGTATATATATAAGAAACAAAAATAAGTATTAGTGGGAGCAACTGGGGGTGTCAGATACAAAAAGAGATTTTTTTTCACAAAACTTCTTTTGTTTTTAAAGAAAATTCTGCTCATCTATAACCTATCCAGGACCAGAGTTGAGGCATGTCTCAAGTGGTAGAGCATCTGCCTAGCAAGTGGAAGCCCTGAAACTCAAAACTCCAATACTGTAAAAAAAAAAAAAAAATTCTATAACCTATACAAAAAAATTAAATAGGAAAAATTTTCTGAGGAAAACCTAGAATTTTATATGCACTATCAACAAAGTGTGAAAGTAGAACAACGACATTTTTGGACTTGCAAGGGATTTAAAAGAAAACAAACCAAAAGAATAAATAAAGCAAAAAAAAAAAAAAAACCCCCAAAACACACAAAAAACCAAGACAAGGTGTTTAAACCAAAGAGTGAGACCAGAAGAACTCTTAGAACAAAACTGAAGGAAGTGCCAGGTCTAAAGTATGAGTGTGGGCAGGCATAAAGCATCAAACCCAGATGTAAAAGAAAGGGCCGAGGTTCTGGGGGAACTTCTGTCGGGGAGAAAAAAGGAACTGATAGATTGCCTATTTTTGAAAGGTATTTTGCATCTCTGGCAGAGAGGTTGCAATGAACTGGTGATAAAAGTGTTTTATCATTTGCTTAGTTTTCTATTTAAGACAATTATCAACCTTAGGAAAACACAAAACTACAGAAGAAATATAATATGCTTCACTGTGTGGTACAGCTATGCACAAATTTAAGTATTCACAACAATGGCAACACTGAAAAACAGACTTAACTCAAAATTTATGGGTTAAGGATATAATGTGAGAGAGTACATACTATGTTGAAGGAAAGGGATAAAAGTCATTAGCAGAGTTAAATATTGAAAAAAAAATCAAGAAACAGCATTATAAGCACACATTTTGAAGTACAGAGATAAATACCAGAAGAAATAACTAAAAAAGTTTTCAAAAAATCTTTCAGCATATATTAGGTCCTCTTCATTTAGGAAAAGTATTAGGGAAAACCCTCACTGAGACTTTTGACTTCGAAAAAGGCAAGTGGATGTAAATTCCATGGTAGAACAGAAAATCCCACAAGCAGTGATATTTATCTATCAACTACCTCTACTGACACATGAAACAATCCTGAAATGTAACTTATGCTGCAGTCAAAATAGCTATAATTTCTGTTCAACCTATTTTTGGCATTTATATAGTACAACATCAACTCTGCTTACAAAGGTATGATTAACTTACAAACAAGGCAGAATTAAATCACAGTATAAAATGGTGATGCCTTTCCAATGTTACCAATACGGCAGCTATAAAAAAATAAACTTTGATAAAAAATAAGAGGTATGCAACAATTAAGAGATTTCTGAGGTCTCTAAACTGACCAAGATAAACTTGATCAGGCTTTAAAAAGGAATCAGTGTATTATCATAAAATATTCCCTTATGTGCAAATCCCAACAAAAATTGTTAAATCAGTGTATTTTCTGTATATGTGTTTGTAAAATTTACACAAATAACCACATCTAGCCTCTGGCTAAAAAATAGCACCTTAATGGCTAATATAATCTTAAGGTCACTTCACATCTTTTTCCAAATAAAACCAGTAAGAATAAGGCATACTCATTCTTGTTATGCAAAATAGTGCCCTTGATTGAAAATATGTTGTAAAATACTGTAAATCCTTACTCCGGCCTCTCATTGATTGTTCCCAATTTTGCTAGGAGCCTAAACAGTCTTCCATTTTGAACCTCCTACAAAACATTTTAAAAAGAGAATGTTAATGTTCCAGCTAACAGAATATAAAAATCAAAGTTTACAAAAACTGGCATTCTGCACCAATATTATCTTTAAGTAGTAAATCCTAATATCCTCACCCTTTGGTTATACTTTTAAATACAACATGTCTATTTCAATTAACAGTAGTATTCAAGATAATGTAGGTTAACCATTGTTAGGAATTGTTAAAGTAACTCACATGAGAAAAAGAAGGTCAAGATTTTTGTCACATGACTCTACAAAACCATGAATGAAAAGAAAACAATGTCCAGATGATATCAGAAATTAAATTACTTAACATCCAGCTTGGACAACAATGTCTTAGCCAATCAGGCACTATGTTCGGTACAACTATTACTATCTATCGTGTATCTATTTATACACAGAGATGTAAGTATATGCACACTGTTAACTACTCGTTACCTTTGCCAGGTCTTCCTCAATGACATCATTTCTCATTTGAGCAGCGTCCAATTGAGTATAAAATCGAGCACCAATCATGGGCATGATGTCATTTACACTTCGCATCCTATTTTGGTCAGTCAACAAGTACCTAACCAAGACAAAGAGGAATTACTTGAATGCCTACTTTGCAATTTAAAAAAACAAAACAAACATAACCCACAAACACATAGCCATTGCTGTCACCATCATCTAGTGTGCACAATTTGAAAATGTATTTTCCAACTAAGTTCATTTTTGAAGTTTAAGTATTATTTCTTTTTCTCTGGAAGATTTTAAGAGTCAAATGGAGAAACGTGCCCCTTCCCTACCTCATTTGTGGAAGTGAGAAAGGAAAGTAAAGGAGGGTTACACTTACCCATTTCCATTCTCAAACCCTTCTTTACAACAGTACTAGATGAAAATGTTATTACAAACTTTTTGAGGAGGAGGGTGTGAAATACTGAGGAGTTGTAGGGTAGAAAGCTTTTCCTGTTGCTCTTTAAAGATAATTAACTTGTTGTTTTTGAATCCGGGTCTTGCTATGTTGTGAGGATGGTCTCAAACTCACGGGACCATCATGAGGAGGATTAAAGGGATCCTTCTGCCTCAGACTCTCCGAGAGCTGGGGCTACAGGTGTATGCTACTGGGTCTAACCAAAAATGAATTTTAAAACTAAAGCTGGGTCTTCAATTGTGCTAAATTAAATGAGCACCAACTTTTGAGGAAGTTGTCTTGTGCTCTGCAGCTTTATTTCCAAATTCTCATGTCTGAGAAATCTTTGTGTACTAACACCTCAAAAGAGACCATCAGTTCAATTTCTTCTCTCATAACAAAGGTGAAAAGTACCACATATTTCAAGAGCTACTTGCTAGAACCCAGTGATTCTCAATCACGCACTGCTTATTTTATAGGTACACCATTTGACAACAGTCTCCCAACCTTTTACTCTTCTGCTTTAATTCCAGCTTTTATTATCTTTATCTTCATAGGATTTATCACAATCTGAAAATACCCTATTTATGTGTTTAATAACACTTTATCCCTAGTAAGATATAAGAGTTCAGAAGACAGAAATTTTGTTCATCTTATCAAAGTGTCCTCAAAACTATGAGGATATTATAGACATTCTTTACTTATATGTCTATATATAAAATTTATAGGGCTATCACATCTCCATCTAGGCTGTGGTATATAGTTGGCATTCTTTTGTTGAGTAAATGAATGATTAGTCCTAAGTAAATAATCTGCCTAAACTATTCATCTGTCACTACTGACCTATTTGTATTTGGCTAGTCATATTAAAAGCTATTACTAGCTATGTGACTTTGGCAAGTTACTTTACCTCTCTATGCCTTGGTTTTGTTGTCTCTAAAATGGGGCTAATAATGGTATCTAATTTATATTTCTTAGAAAAATTAAGTAAATTAATGCATATCAAGCAGTTCAAAAGTACCTGATACATGGCTTATTGCTCCATAAATTTTAGGTTATGATTACTATTGCAGTATGATTTTTTTCTTCATTCACTTTCATCAAGGAAAATTTCAAGTATTTACAAAGTAGAAAAGGTAGTATAATAAAGTCCCATGTATAATCACCCAGTTTCAATAATTACTGACATACAATTTATTATATTTATATCATCTACTCCCACTTTTTAAAAAGGAAAAATCTAGAGATACAGCCTGAAATTACTTGAAACATCCTTAGTGTTGCAAACTAAGGGTAGGAATCACTACTGTGATCATATATGAAACAAGTTATTTTCAGTAAAAAGATAAATCAACTTATTTGATTATTAATAGGATCCAGGCAACCACTGGCTTCTAGTGCTGTCACAAGCAAGACATTTATGCCAGTGTTAGCAAAGAAGAAGTGAGCAGCCCCATCCTCCAACCCCCAATTCCATACCCCAGGGCTGGTCCAAAAACAAACTGGATCATCCAGGGCTACACAGAAAGATGAGAAGGGACAGCTGGAAGCTAAAAGAGACTGTTGATTAGGATCAATAAGTTCTAATTGTTTCTAGAATATAATAGGAAAAAATTTAAAGAGATGTTCTAGCACTTCATCTCTAGAATAACCCATAACTATAATAAAAGAAGTGGCTGCTCACCCTCCGGAATCATATTACATGTGTCTGAGACAAGGAGAAGTACTTCTGTGATGATAGTAGTCCATTGTGGGTTTCTCTTAAGCCAAATTAATTCTAAACCTGTATTTAAGGACTCACTGAAGACTGGACCATAAGCATGTGGCCTCTGTACACATTGTTTTGGAATGGATGATTGGGCCAAAGAGCAGTAAAACAGAGGCTTATTTATGACAGCTTTCACATGCTAGCACAGCACTGGCCAAGAGAACTCTTTGAGATGATGGAAAAGTTGTCTGTGTTGTCCAATATATTAGCTAGGAACTATATGTGGCTGCTGAGCTCTTGAAGTACTGCTAGTATTAACTGAAGAACTGAAAATTTAATTTAAATTAATTCTAATTTAAAAGGGCACATTTGGCTAGAACCAGTACAGCTCTAGAGGGTGTCCTTTGACCAAATGACTAATTTAAACACACTAGCTTATTAGTTTGTTCTAAGAAATATGTACTTTGCAATAAAAATAAAGAAATTAACATTTGTTTACATTTTTTGGCTTTAAACAATGGGAATTAAAATAGAAATTCTGTTCCAAAGCTCCTTATGAAAAATAATACCTAAACTTAATACAAAAAAGCTCTCTGCTAATCTTTTATGATCACTTCATGTTTTACCAGATATTAAAACTTACAAGATCAGATTCTTTAGATCAGATGAGTAGTTGATTGTCACCAATTCCATGGCTTTCTGTAAATTCTCTCGCTGAATTCCGGCCAAAGAGTTGCAAGCCAAAGCCAACACAACTTTTCCTAATGCTATCAGATCTGCTTGCTGATATGAAAGAATAAATGAAACTTTTAATTTCTTCCACGGGTACACATTTAATACACTAACAGTATGGCCTAAATGGAAAAAAGTACCATTATAAATAAACTGTAGAACTTGGGGCACAGTTCTCAAATATTGTCACTCCTCAGAATCACTTGCAGCTTATTAAAAAGGATTTCTAAGCCTTAAGCAACTATGCTTAATGTTTCCTTACAGGGGCAAGGTTTTTATTCTATTGTTTTGCTTCTTTGCAGTGGCGGGGATCAAACCCAGAGCCTCTCCCACCCTGGGCAAGCGCTCTACCACTGAGCTACATCCCCAGCTTCAGGAACAGGTTCCCCTAGAACCTTACCATACTAGTAAGGAAATAAGAAATGCCAAAAATAGCAAAGAATATGGTGGGGCCTGAATCGACAATCTAGAATGAAATTAGATATTAATGAAGTTCTGATAATGTACAGGTGAGTGACAGGTTTTAACTAAACAAAAGAAAAAAATTAGAAAATGGCAATCTAACAACTCTTTGGAAATACTTCTAAAATTTTATGATTAGTAGTACGACAAGTAATTTAAAAGTGAAAAATAGATTGATTAAAGTGAAAACGTAGTGTTATTTAGTATAATTCCTTCAGTTGACTGTTTTACTCTATCCTGAGAATGAAATTTCCTATTCATATAAATACATTTCCATTTTGAACAGCTAGAATCTTTGACACTCTGTCTTTAATTCTATATATTCCAACCTATAAGAGCTCTCTTCATTACATATATTACAGTGGTTAAGAGGTAGAGAACACTCAGAATAAATTGAGATCTGGGCTTAAAATCCTGATAAACTTTAAAATGAATTTCACTTAAAAAAAAAAAAAAGCTTTAAGAAAAAATGCCCATGTTATTAATTCATACTCACCTGGTACTGAGCCATTAATGCCAATGGATTATTGTTTTGACTGTTATCAAATGTTAAAACATCAAAAACTCCAACACAATTTACTCGTAACCTTTAAGGATCAATTAAAAAAATAATTAAAGTTTTTGTTATACAGTAATGGATATTTAACAACTCCTTTGATATTAAGAAGGAGCTCAAAATATTATTTACTCTAACTTCTATTCCCACCCCACTTCCACATAGTATCTAACAACCATTTTGGAGATAAGGAAATTAAGGCTCAGAAACATCAAGTGGTATGACTCCAGTAGTAAAAGTCAGTAACAAGAAAGCTACCATAACAGCTCACATTTTTTTCTGACTAAAGCAAGTCTCCTTTTTACCACTCGAACCTGTTTATTATTTATGAAAGAAAACTAGTTAGCTTATTAACACTTGCTAAAGACATACCAAGCACTGTTCTAAGCATTTTACGTGTATTAATTCATTCAAATTTATTAAGGAATGTATGAGGCAGACACCTTAAAAACAAGTTAATAACAGTGCCTGTGTATTGATGTTATTAAAGACAGAAAAAAGCTGTTCAAGATCATACAGACTGTAACGAGGGAGTCAGGATATAAACCCAGGACCTGCTATGCTACTCAAGACAATTCTCAAAAGTATGGCAACTCAAGACTCAGGAAGTCACGGTCTGTGTTACTTAACTGTGTCATTCTCGTAGCACGGGATTCAACTAGCAGCAACAGCATCACTTGTGTTCCTCTAATTCTAACCCTAGACACATCCTTACTCTTACCAAGATTTCTGGTTAATATCTAGGCATTTTATTAAGAATTCAACTTAAAAAAAAAAACAACAACTTACAAATGCACTCAAAAGTCATAGCAGTTCTTTTGGATGAGATATATGAAAAAGTAGAGTTAAAACAAATCATCATACTTTCAACAGGCTAGATGGTCAATAAAAAAACTCAAATTCAAAATGTTATTACCTTGTTTTGCCAGTTATCAGAATCTTTGTTGGGTCCATTACTCGACATGCCAAACCTGCTGTATGAATGGTACGCAAAGCAGAACTCAGTTGGACAATGTATGCCCAAATGAGAGATTCTGGCAATAACCCAGCATGCTGTCTGGGTAATGGTCCATCATGTTGACCTACGAAGTAAATAAATAAAAAACCAACATCTTCACTTAAATGATCAACTAAAAAGACTGAAATATTCAAACCAAAATAAACAAAGAAAACTCATGGGTACAACATGCCAATGTTAATAGCTAAATCAGTATTGGAGACACATAAATTTAACCTAAATTTTGTAATTATCTCAGGGAACATAATTTTACATTCATAGGTTGTAAATCAACTTTTTGTGAATAAGGTATAAAAGCAATAAAGTTAAATTATTAATTACGGACATGATAAACAGTGAAAATATAATTATAGTTTGGAACAAAATTTCTAGTTAGAAGCACCTACAAAATTCAAAAGTTGTTATCTTTCAAGCTGGAAAAAACTGAAGATAAAACTCTAGAAAAGTATTAGATGACACAAAAAGTGGCTCTGGTGATACATGTCAAGACAATGTCAAAGACAACTTGCACATGAGACCTTGGATTAACCTCCACGGTGGTTCACCACCATGAACGACATGAAAGCGTTTACATAGACAATATAGTTAACATAATAAGGAAACAGATTACTTAGAACAAACACATAGTGCTTACTTTGTGCCAGAGTAAATTCTAGTTGTTTTACCCACTTCAACTCATTTTAAACCTCTTTATTAACTCCTACATAATATCATATCCTATCATTCCCATTTTCTACATTAGTATACTTCTTATAGTGTTATTTTTTAAAGTTTGCGTTAAAACAATTAATTACACAGCATTAGGAAATAGTACACTTCTATGAATGTATGGTATATTTAGGAAGGTTATAATCATTCAAATGATACCTTTAAAATATTGGAAGAAGGATTGATTCCTATGAAAATGTAAATGTTAATATATCAATTAGTCAACAACAAAAACAAAATAATTAAGATTTCTTAAAACTGGAAAAAATGCTATGAAGGAGTGGTTCTCAGCAGGGAAGTTGGCAATATCTGGAGATATTTTTAGTAGTATAAATTTGGGTAGAGGGGGTTGCTACTGGCATCCAGCAGACAAGGCTCACTATATAACACTCTGTAATGTGCAGGATAGCCTCCACAAAAAAAATTAAGTAGCCCAAATGTCAATAGTGCTGAGGTTAAAACCAGCTATAAATTAAAGCCAACAGTCACTTCACAGGTGTTACTACTAAAATAAACTGGAACAACAGCCATATTCATCTATAGGAAAAGTCAGACCACATCCCCTTCAACAAAATTATGCATGTGTCTACAGATGATATGGCAAAAGGAAAAAACTGACCACACTACATGACCAGATTTTTAATGTGAAACAGCCACGGAACCACAACTTTCTTCTTTCAACTGTCAGGATGCAGAAAGCAAAGTCACGGGTAAACAGAAGTAATATATTTTTAACACTTCTTAAAGAAGTCACAATCTGAATGACATTGCAATGTGGACTCAGATCTTGCCTCTCCCCTTTAATTTCAGTAAGTTATGTGTTCAAGAAAATCTAAAAAAGATTAAAAACCACAACAAACAATGTGATGCTTCTTTCTTGACCACAAACCAGAAAATTGTCCTCAAATACATAAATTAATAGACATCTCAAAATGGATTTACTCTTTCTCTGAAATTACAAGTTGTTTATTTAAGTAGATATTAGAAACAGCAAAAAAAAAAAAAAAACCCATCCCAATAATACTCCATTTTTAAGTGTAGTTACCTGAAAATCTATTTTGATATGCACCCACACCTTTAAACAAAACCATATGTTTAGAAAAATAATCACATAAATGATCATATTTGACTAAGAAAATCAAATTGTTTACTAATATAAAGAGAAATATCTATAATAAATTAAATATTCAATATAGTATACACTGACAAAAATAAAACAAGACTGGAAAGAAAAAAATGAACCACAGATTCATAATATTTTTGCTTCGGCTATGTAGCCATAAAGACTATTTTTCTTTTTTTAATTTATGATTTTCCAATCTTTATTTAGAAAGCACTATAATTTAAAAGAAAAAATCTTTTTTAACAGGAAAAAAGGCTGAGTACAAAGGCACAAGCCTATGATCCTAGCTTGGGAGGCAGAGACTGGGAGGATAACAGTTTGAGACCAGCCTAGACAAAAAGTTCTCAAGACTCCACTTCAACAAATGACTGGGAACAGTGGGATCACCTGTTGTCCCAGCTACACAGGGAAGCACTAACAGGAGGTAATGGTCCAGGATGACCCAGTAATAAAGTGAGACCCTATCTTAAAATAATCAATACAAAAAGAGCAGGGGGTATGGCTCAAGGAGTAGAGTTCCTGCCTAGCAAGCACCAGGCCCTGAGTTCAACCCTGAGTACTGCTAGAAAGAAAGAGAAGAAAATTCTTAACATGCTCCTAGTTATTTCAAACATCAGCTATCTAAGTTTTTTGCAACCCAGTAAATACACACATATTATTTCCTAACTTGCTGTAGATGAGATCCTGTTTCTAAAATGCCAGAGTCCTTAAACTTAATTAATTAAAGGATAAAACTGTGTACATTTTAAATTATAAAACTACCTTCGACAGAGCAAAAGCATTTAAAAAATACTATGCATACATCTTTTTCTTACCCCACTTTCTCTTTGTGAAGTAGGCATCAGCATTAGGGTCATTAAAGTGTCTGCTCATCATAGTTTCTCCTCCAGCATGGAAATCATATGCAAACACGAGAGCTTAAAACAAAACACAAACAATCATTATGGAAACCTGGCTTTAAATAATGACGCTTACAGTATGAGATACTCACAAGGTTCAGCGAATGCTTTAGTGGTAAATACTTCACGCAGTGTTACGATATTTGAATGCTGAATTTTTTTCCACATATCAACCAAGACCATGCACTTTGTGTTTACAAGACGAAAACCTGAAAAAGAAAATTTCTACTGCAATAAACTGTAAATGACATCTCCTTGGTATTTCCATCAGAAATGTAAATAAAATGGGAATTGGGCATGACTCAAGTGGTAGAGTGCTTGCCTAGTAAGTGTGAGGCCCAGTTCTATGGGTTAAAAAAAAAAAAAGTAAGTAAAATGATATATCATACACTGATTATAGGGTAGTACATATAGTCATCCTTTAAATGTACACATTAAATGAATCAATGTATTCAGGAAGCTTAAATAATACAATTATAAAAAAGGAAAATGTATCTTCCTTACCATGTATCCTCCGAAGGCAGTATGGCAGATCATCTTTGCTATTTACAGCTTTGTAGCAAGATGTAATATATCCAAAATTACTTGATTTCTGTATCCGGTTGGGGGGTGGCAGTGGTTCTAGAGGGAATAGGCTATGGTAGCTGTCAACTTCTGTAGGGACTGCTAGAGTAATTCACAGGAAGACAACTTTCAACTAGAGATACTCATATATTTCTCACAGTAATAAAGAGGACTTAAATTACTACAAACTACTTGTAGTACAGAGCAGTGTTGGCATTCATAACAATTTTATAAAATAAACTATGATCTCAGGATCAATTACAGGCATTATAAAACAACCAAGAACTAAAGCTCATAAACTCAAAAATACTTCCTATCTTTTATAGCACAATACATTTTTTGTTTTTCAGAAATAATTATTAGAAATGAGTTATTGCTTGAGATAGGGGAGGGGAGAGGAGAAGAAAAAAGAAAAAATTCAAAACAAGTCCCATTAAAATGGGTAGTGTGTTCATGTATGTGTATATATAGGTATATACATACCTATGTGACATTTGGTTTGAAAACTCTTAAAAACCAATCTTTGGCTTAGTAAGTACAATTCAAGGGAATTATCCACCCACCCCCACCTGTCCCCCAAATAAATAGACAGCTAAACCAGTGCTCACTGCAGCTTAGTAATAGTGGAAATAATGGTGTTGTGAAGGCTTACAAATAGGAAAACCAGTTTTAATTCCTACTAGATTAGAATATAATAGGGAAAAAAAAAAAAGAAAGAAAGAAAAGAAACCCACGATCACCATGCCTCCTATGTACCCAAAAAAGGAAAACTTATGTTTAAGGATACATAACACACAGAGACTTGCTCAGGATACACATTAGGTTCTAAAAGCTGTATATCTTGAATTTCAATTTGGTGTTTCATTTATGGACTAAAAAGTTGCACACTAAAATGTATGCAGTAGTTGTTTTCTCTACAGAGAGAATAGGCAATTTATATTCCCTTGTTCACTGTTTCCTATTTTCCAAAGGAAACATATATCAGCTTAACAATCTAAAAAATGAAGTAATTTTTGAATGCTTCAAATACAATCAATTTGGTTTTCCAATTGGACAGCCACCATTTTCTTTAACTGCCCTGAATTACTTAGGAATGGTTACCAGATTTTAATTTTTTTGAGGTACTGGAGTTTGGACTCAGGGCTTTTCTCTTGGTGGGTAGACACTCTACTCCTTGAGCCATGGCTCCAGCTCTTTTACTCTGGTTATGCTGGAGATGGGGTATCACTTTTTGTACAGGCCAGCCAGGACTGTGATCCTCCTATTTTAAGACTCCGTCCATCACTGGGATGACAGGTACATGCCACCACACCCAGTCTCCCCACCGCCCCCTCCCCACCCAAGTTGAGATGGGGGACTTCGCAAATTTTTTTTTGCCAAGGGCTGGTCTTGAACTGTGATCCTACCTATCTCAGCCTCCCTCATAGCTTGAGATGACAGGAGATTATGGACATTATGCCATGGTGCCTAGTTATACACCACTTTTAAGTGGGAAAAAAAAAAGAGCTAACTGAACATGTGGTATATATATTCCACAAAGGAATACAGCAAACTTTAATGATTTTTTGTTTTGTTGGTACTGGGGTTTGACCTCAGGGCTTCGTGCTTACTATGCATTTGCTCTACCACGTCAGCTATGACCCCAAACCTTTTTTGTTTGTAGTTATTTTTTGGACAGGGTCTCTTGCTTTTTACCTGGAGCCAGCCTTAGATCATGATCCTCCTACCTATGCCTTCCCCCTAGTTAGGATCACAGGTGTACACCACTATGTCTGTTGAGATAGGGTCTAACTTTTTGCTTAGGCTGGCCTCAAACTGAGGTCCTCCCAATCTTTCCCTCCCAAGTAGCTAAGACTATAGGTCTGTACCACTACACAAAGCCAGAAGGCAGGATTTTTATTCTCTTCTTTATACTGCTCTGTATTTGCCAAATGTTTTATAATAAACATGCTTAATACTACTTTCAAAACAAGGTATTATGTCTCTTTATAAAACCCTGCAAAAAACTGATTATTCAGAGACCCCATTAAGAAAATTCTCAGCCAAATGCTGGTGGCTCATGCCTATAAGTCTAGCTACTTGGGAGGCTGAGGATTGCAGTTCCAGGGCCAGCCCAGGCAAATA